TGGAGGACGTTGTAATTTGAAGGGTAAAGTTAAAGTTTGTGAATGCACTCTTGTTCTGAATTGCCTACCCCACCACAAGAGGCCACCGAATACACCGAAGCCACCCAAGTGACCACATAAAAAGTTTTATTTAATTTATTTACTATTTTTTAATTTATATTTTAAATAATACAAGTACAACAACAGTATTGTTGGAAATAGTTTTTGAAAAGATAGTTTTGATCATTGTTATGGTGGATTTTTTGGTGAAGACATTCATCGGAATGATCGGATTTCGGCAGGAATCGTTGCTGCGAGCACTACACGATGGTGTATTAGAATGACAAAACCGAACTTTGTTTGAATTAGAAATGGATTTCCAAAATAAGTAGCTTAGAGTTAAATGGCTTACTTTGTAAATGAGAAAAATGTCGAAATCACGAACTGAGAAATGTTGCTGCGAGCACTACACGATGGTGTATTAGAATGACAAAAACGAATTTTGTTTGAATGACAAAAACTTCATATTGTTTAAATGGCTTACTTTGTAAATGAGAAAAATGTCGAAATCCAAATTTGGAACGAAAAAAGCATGAACTTTCGAAATACCTTTTAAATCATAAGGTTTAGTTTGACTTTTGATAAAATGGTCAAGTTTCGTTGACTTGACCATTTCGGACATGTCGTTAAGTTTCCGTTGACGAGACGATGGCGGAGTTAACTTTCCGTTAGAAATCTTCGTTGAATCGAAACGACGTCGTTTTGAAAACAACAAAACGACGTCATTTCAGTGTAAAATAAAACAAAACAACTACGTCCATGAAGAATCAAACTACTGACCACTTGAACGAATGAGAGACTCTAAATCATAGAGCTACGATAATATTTTGGAATTATAACAAATAGAGTGTATATATACTAAAAATATATATACGTTTAATTAAAAATATATGCAAAACTAAAAATAACAAAACTAAAAAAAATCAGTACCCAAAAAATACAAATATTAAATATACTTACCATATATATTTTTTCGAAATTTTAAATATTTAATTTTATATTTAAGAAAAAATTGTTTCAATAATAACCTCGTTATCATTCTGATATGTTAGATCAAAGCAAGCTGGTTTTGTAAAAAAAAAAACTCTTTGATATTCTTGATAAAGACAGTCACTTGGAATGTTTGAGAGAGTTGGTCACAGGAAGACCCCAAATCTCAACCATCTTCACTTCATCCAAATCTAGGCGTAACAATTCTCTCATCTTTTCCAAAAGAGCTCATATCCCAACTAAGTCGTTAAAATCAATTGGTCTCATGAATTGTTTCAGTTTTTTTTGAAACATCAGTGGCGATCATGGCTGCTTCATTATTACTACCGAATGTGTGCATAAAAATACGTTAGAAACCAAAAAAAAAAGAAAACACTTGAGAGTATGATCGATGCTAAAGCGGGCGGATCAGAATTCTCTTTAGAGGAACATCGAGTTACTGACCTAGTGTGAGAAACCAAGTCTGGTATTTAATTATCCAGCAGAAACATGTCCATTGAAGGGTCAAAATCCTTATCCTAAATCATTGTGCATTAAACGTTGCCATGAGTGTAGGAAGTGCTTAAATGACTCTGAAAACAAGCCCTTCTGTTTTGCATAATTCAGCTATAAGAAAAGGGTCTAGCCAGTTACAAGAGTTCGTCTGGTGTCAAAACCCATGACTTTGATACCATAAACTAATTGTGCCATGTTGGTAACTTGATAATATATCCGATCTAGAAAAAAAATGTAATATTGAACTAACAATAATGCAATAATGTCTATATATCGTCCTTATGAAAAAAGACTACATCAAATTTATTCAAATAATTTCAAGAAATAAATATTAAAGTACACCACCTACTTGCATAGACTTGAATTCATTTTCAAAATGGATCAATGTTCTCAATCCACTCCTCCTTGGTCATTCCCCGGAAGTAAGAGCCCATAATCTTTAGTCTCAAAGGAAGCTTACCAGCAATATTCAAAACTTTCCTTGCAAGATCCTCAAAACCATCTTTAGGGAACTTTTGACCAAAAGCAGCCATACAAAATATTTGCAAAGCTTCATGATCTGAAGGCAAAGACACTCTATAACTATTATTGATCTTATATTCCTTCAAAAGCTTTCTATCTTGGACCGTGAGGATAACCTGACTTCCAGGACCAAACCACTGAGTTTCTTTTAGTATATCATCTAAATTTACTGACCCGTCAAGATTATCAATAACGACAAGCACTTTCTTGAGTTTCAACCTTTCTCGTTCAACTTGTAGATTTAGAACTTCACTATCATTGTGGTATGTTAGTAGAGACATGAACTCCGCATTTGGTCTTGTATAAAGCGCTTTGATATTCTTGACAAAGACACTCACTTGGAATCTGTTAGAAAGTTGGTTATATAGAAATTTGGTAATTGTGCTCTTACCAATCCCAGGAAGACCCCAAATCCCTAGCATCATCACTTCATCCAAGTCTAGGCATAACAATTGATTCATATTTTCCATATGAGCTCTCATCCCAACTAAGTCGTTGAAATCAATAGATCTCATGGAAAAAGTCAGCTTTTTCGACACATCAGTTGCGATATTCTCGATCATGGCTGCTTCATTAACCCTGAATCAATGCATGCATTAGTTAATTGATCATGAAAAGAAAATAAAAATCATATTGACATGCAAAAAGTACCTTTATTTTTCTATTGAAAATTTTCTGATTAATAAGAATTTAATAGTACTATTGATATCTCGTGATATGGATTTAGAGAATTTTCTTATGGTATTTAATAGGCATTAATTAACCAATTAATTAATTAATATATCTTGTGAATTGGTTTTTTATTTAGAAACTTAGCATTCTTCACATTGTACGTATAGAGACCAGCAAGTCCAAACAAGGCGATCTAAGTGAACCAAAACCAAATGGTCAATCGACTAGTTACCAATAAGATTTTAGATGTAAGTTCATAATTTTTCTTAGTATATATCCACATATCTATATTCTTCTTAACATTTTATGCTCTTAAAGTAACCATTTCAGTTTTAACAAGATTATGAGCAAACTTGAATTGAAACAGAATAAAACAAAATTGACGAACCAGTTGCTTGAATGGTAACCAGCAATAGTGGCTACTTCTGCCAAAGCTGTTCTCCATCTCCTAATTTCCTCCTTTGTTTTACCGGCACAAGTTTTTCTGAAGACCTTCCCAAAATCTCCGCTCTGGTTACGTACATGAGATGGATCCACTTTGTAAAAAATGGCTATCACTATTTGACCTAACTCTCGTCTGCATTTCATAATCTCCACCAATTCATCAAGACACCATTTTGAAGAAGCGTAGTTCCTCGAGAACAAGATGACTGCGATTTTAGATCCTCTAATCGCTCTTATAAGCTGAAAAGAGATGGATTCACCTCTCTCGATCTCATAGTCATTGAATTGCCTTATTCCTTTTCTTTCAAAACCCTTTTGAATGTGACTTAGAAAGTCTTTGCGGACATCTTCTCCACGGAAGCTCGAAAAAACATCATGGATCCAGTTGCGAGACAAAGAAGATGGAGGTGATGAAAGAGTACTTAACGATGAAAAAAAATCAATATATTTGTTATCTTGATGGAATATGAATTTTCCATAAAGCACGAGGAAGCCTATTGCAGCAACAACAATGGTAAGTAAAAAGGAAGAATCCATTAGTGATGGAGAGAAGATTAAGATCCTATACGGAGGATTGATTGACAATATAGGTTCCAAAATATATTGACACTGGACGTTGACTTTGAAATTTCTGCGAATTATTACATCGTTGTCCATTTTGGTTTATTGTTTGGTCCACCCTATTTTGAACAAGTCGTGATAGATATTTCTGCAAAATATTCAACCAATGGTTGTGATTTCACCTAAGTTTTTTTTTTCATCTTTAATTTCCGTCATTTTTATTAGTTATTTAACATAATACGTTTGTAAACTATACCTAAATTTATTTCTTCAAAAATATGTATCTAAATAAATTTAGGTATAGATAAAATTTCCACTAAATAAATTTTGAAGAAACTTTTTATTTCCACTAATAACAATATTTCTTCATTTGTAAAATATGTATTTACCTGAAATATTATAATTTTATACTCTTAAAAAGTTTTTTTTTTTTTTTTTTTTTTTTTGTAAACCACACATTCATTAAAAAAATAACTCCACAATTGGTTGCCCAATTAGGAGGAGAGGAGTTTACAAAATTAACATCAGCAAATAAAAGTCTAGAAGAAAGGGCTAAATCTCTTAAAAAGTTTTAAATATTATAATTGATATATTTAAAATCAATAAAAAAATTTATAATATTATGAACATTTGAACATATAAAAAAATATATAACACGGGACTGATTATATTGCGGGACAGGGTTATATGGCAGAACGTGTTTGAATCAACATTAATAAAAATTTAAAATATCATGAATCCGCCGCTTCAATATGGGTTAAATCTTCATTTTGTTATTTTTAACACCACTAATATTAGACATATCGAATCAGCCTGATTTAAATAAAATTATATAAACAAAAATTGTCTCATGGTAAATTGTCTTATAAAATGATACAATTTGCAAACTTTTGTATATAATACATAATTATTAAATTTTCTATATCACTACTATTAAAAAATAAATCGTCTCGCGGTATACCACGGGTTAAAATCTAGTATCCGTATATTTTTTTATGATTTTTTTCCAACGGTTATATGACTTTTAAATTTTAAAAGTGTGGAATTGGTTTCATTTTCTTAAGAATTTGTTATATTTTAAACCATCGACTTACATTTCCATTAGATAAGCAGTTGAAAATAAAAACTTTTTTTTATGTTTTTCAGAAGTACAATTGTTTTTCTAATTTCAACATTTACTTCCAAAATACAAAGTTATCGAACATTCAACATGACAAGTTTGGAATATGAGCAATGAGATGTAAATAACAGGTCTTGATGGAAGGTTGGTAGGAGCAAATTCCATGTTGGGGTTATTACCACAGAAAAATGATGTTAAAAAAAAAAAAGTCCACAAAACCCATTGAAGGAAGAGAAGCAACAATGTTTAAAAAAACAAACTTTACCTCAAGAATCAGAACAGAAAATAATAACCTAATAAAAGGCTCACTAGTAACTAGCAATTCTCATTTCCCATTATTGTTCATCAGAAACAAAAGCCCATTGCGTTAACCAAATTCACATCTCCATCTTTTTTTCTTCACTTAAGCTCCTCTCTCCAACCTACAAATACAAAGAAGTACTCAGAAAAATCATGGAATGAAACTAGAAGATAAAGGTGAACATAAATACCAAAACCGAAACCGAACTTTATCGTCAAACCAAACAGTTTATACCAAACCATAACCACTCTTATTTCAAAAGAAATACACTCATTCAACATTATAACTTTCATTTCAAATATATTCCAGAAGTATATTCAATTTTGTTTACAAAAAAAACAAATTGAAGCAGACAAATTCCACTTTTATGTTCTGCATAAATATCTCAAAAACGAAAAACTGAATTCCCGGCCCTACTATAAGATGATAATACTCTCAATGCATCAGACTCAAACCCCTGTGGGGTTCCAGTCCAAAATCTATTTTCTTTCAGTATTCAGGAGTAAAAGAGTTTAAAAGAGCCATACCAATGTTATAGCTCAACGACCAGGGTTCAGATTAAAGAGCATGCTTTGTCCACCAGGTAAATAAGCCACGTTCGGAGACCTAGCCAGAGTAGCTGCAACCTCCCTTGAAGCTTCAATCCTCCTAAGCTCAATTAGTCCCATTCCTGCTTTAGCTGTTGCATCTGAAATCAGCTGAGCAGCTTCACTCTCACCTTCCGCTCTTATAACCGCAGCTCTCCTCTCTTGATCAGCTTTCATCACCACAAACTTTGACCTTTCAGCTTCCTGTTGAGCCACTTGCTTCGCCTCAACTGCCCTCGAGAACTCAGCACCGTATGATAAGTGAGTAATAGCTATGTCGTCGAGCTCAATGCCGAATTCCCTGGCACGCTTGATAAGAGCATCACGAACAAGTGCTGATACTTGAGGACGCTCAGTGAGGAGCTGATCAGCATTGAAAGTAGCAACCACAGCTTTCAATACCTCATTTCCAATTGAGGGAAGAACTTTCTCATCGTATTCTAGACCCAATGTTTGGTAAATATTCGGGAGACGCGAAACCTTCACAGTGAAATAATCACAACAACTTATTAAATCCCTCAAAAAATCGAAGCCAGCATAGATATACCTACACTCAGACATTTCCATAACTCGAATTCAAAATGATTTAACAATGTTCATCACCAAAAAAGCTTCTATTATAAGAGTAACATTCATCGAAGAAACCAAATTACACATACGGATTATCCTAAACCCTAGATCTTCTATCGAGAAGAAAGCAAATTACGCACAAGATCATCCTAAACCCTAGATCATGTAAATCATCCAGTTTCTACGAAATCAAACACAGAATCGAGAAATTGATTGCTCAAAATCGAATTACCTCAGGGCGAAAGAGAACACGAAGGGTGAGATTAACCATCTGAAGATCCTTGGTACCAGATTTGGAGGAGAAAGTGTGAGGTTTCGTACGAATATCGTAGATGTGAGGTGTCTGGAGATACGGGATCAAGAAATGAGTCCCTTCGCCGACAGTCTGATCCAACACTCCCCTGAATCGATCGAACAACACAGCTCTCTCGCCACCATCAACCGTGTAGAGCGACGAGTTCAGTGCCGTCGCCGCCACACCTAAACCAAACGCCGCCTTCGCCAAGTTCGTCAGGAACGAAATCGCTGCTTGTTGACTTCCCATTTTTTTTTTTTTTTGACCTCACAAAAAAATGCTTCCAAGGAGAGAGATTTAGGGGTTTGTTAGGGTTTATCAAATGATTTTGGAACTTGGAAGAGAGGGTTTTTTTTTTTAATTTGCCGACAATTATAGGATATGGGCTTTAAAAAGCCCATTAGTCTTATAAACTAACGCGGCCCAATATTAAAATAAATGGCTTCGAAAAATGGAAAGTAAATTGAGTTTTGCCTATAGCTATAGGATTCAAGTTTCGTCCTTCAAAGTTTGAGATGGCAAATAACTTTTTGAAGAAAAAAGCTTTAGGACAGGCAATAATAGCTCGTAGGGTACCTGAAGAGTGTCATGATATCTTCTCAAGACATCCTCGTGGTTATCCAAGAGAAGAGCATTGGTATTATTTTTGCAGGAAACGTAACCACCAAGTTACTACTTGTAACCTATGGACACCAATAGGAGAAGAAACCAATGTGTTATATCCAAAGAATCGGCAACTAGTTGTTGCTACGAGACGTCGATTTACTCTCGTGGAGAAAGATGAAGAAGAAGAATATGATTGGTTCCTGGATGAAATCAACCTCCGACAAACAGTTTCATTTTCTGATTGGGTTTTCTGTCATATCAAGAGCAAGAAGATTAAACCCGAATTTGATTATTTGCCCATAAACGAATCTGAGTCCGAATCTGAATCGAAAGACGAAGAAAGTGTTGATAACAACCCTGCAGAGATTTTGGATCTTCTTAGAGAGCAAGACGAAAATCTTCTTCCTCCACCTCCTCCTTCACCTTAATTACATTTTGTCTTTATTTGTCTTAGAAATTAAGAATAAACATTCTGTCTTTTTTTTGTTGTTTTGTCTTTAAACTGATTTTTCTATACAAGCAGGGAAAAATATTGAATGTGTGAAAATGTTATATACAATAAAGTCTATATAAAGGCAATAAGACCTCTTACTTTGGACAACAAAAGTAGCAAAAAAAAAAACAAAACGATGATTGATTAGTAAGTACCAACAAAAATAGATTCTCTAGGCAAGTAAAAACGACGGCTGATTTGATTTGTCTCAGTCTATATAGGGCTATTTGATGTGCTCTTCCTTTCCTAGTTCAGGAGTTCAAATGACTGCAAGGCTATCAGACATATCAAACCAATCCAACCACTCTTCCTGGTTAATCAAATGATGGTGCTGAGGATTGAAGATATAAGAGAGTTCATCAAATGGAGCCTCTAAAACTGCCTCACTCATAACTTGTGAAATCTAACATAACATTCTTCTCCACTTGGTTTGGCTTCATTCAATTCTCCACCTCTTATCTAGATTATCTGGAATCTTAAAGCATGCTTCTCTTGTGGTTGTTTAAAGTTTACTCTATCTTACATCCTCTCTTAGTTAGATTACTCTCAACTTTTTTTCTCGGATGTAATCTTCAAATGAGGAAAAGGCAAACGATAAATATAATTAAGCAGTTATAGAAGAAAAGAAAAAAAAAAGTGTTAATTAGTCTAGTTGGTTTGAGATTTGTATAAACTTCTAGAGGGGATGAATTCAACTCCTAATTTAAGCATACATTATAAAATCCGATAGGACCATGCATTTGTACATATGTTGTGGATGCCATGGACATTTGTACTTTAGTAGAATTTATTAATGTCCGAGTTTGATATAGTCATCCCAAGTTTTCTATGCTTTAGTGGTTGCGACAAACATTCTCATAATAACTTTCGTCTCAACTTACGACCAACTGACAATAACAATTGTATTTTAAATACTAAATAAATAAAGGGAGATTGACACAAATAGCCCCAAAAAAGTTATTTTTTCCAAAAATAGCACCTCATTTGAAAAGTTCCACAAATAGCACCATAAACTTCAATTAAACTTAATGAAAATATAAGATAGAAAATAAAAAAAAGAGCAAACACTAATCTAATATTAAATTGAATCAAAATTGTTTTAAATAGTGGAAATATATACCCTAATTTGGAAATAGGGAACCCAAATATAATACCACAAACTAATATTAAAATAAAAATCTCTTTTAAATGGTAAAAATATATACCCTAAATTGGAAATAGGGAACCCAAATATAATACCATAAACTAATATTAAAATGAATCAAAATCTCTTTTAAATGGTAGAAATATATACCCTAAATTGGAAATAGAGAACCCAAATATAATATTTTAAATTTATTTCTAATTTATTTTGTTGAATAGCTTTTATATAAAAGTTGTAGTATTATTGAAAAAAAAAGTTAGTGATAAAATTTTTAGAACAAAAACACTAATAGTAAGTTAACTAGTGCTATTTTTGGAAGTTTATGAAGTGTGTGCTATTATTGTCAATAAAACTTGTTTTAGGGCCATTTTTAGGAATTTCTCATAAATATATACCTTACTACTGTTAATTATTTTGAATATTTATTTTTGGATCTTGAGCTATCATTGTTTTTAATTTGTCTCGGATTTTCAAAAAGCACAATTTACATTAAGAGTGTTCAATATGTTCAAACTTATGTGATCTGAACTAAACAAAAAAAAAAAACGGATTCGAAAACAACACTATGCTATAAAATAATTTAAACTAATTCAGTTTTTTTTTTTTTTAAATTCAGTTTTATATAAATAAATTTTTAAATCCAATTTAAGAACTCAAATATGAACCGAATATAATTATAGCCACACCAAACTGTCCATATTAGATTATGTTTTTTTTGAAATATTATTTTTTATTCACTAAACTTTTTGAAAAACCGAATAACCAAACTAAGATTGTATGGTTAAATTCATTGATAGTGCATTAGTACTGATCATATAGCTCCAAATCCAGAGATAATGGGATATGATTAATTCAGAGCTATTATTTTAGGCTAAAATTAGAGAACAAATCTCATTTGTATATTGTCTTGACAAAGTCAACCCAAGTTTAATACTATGCTATTAGAGTTGTTTATAACAAAAATTCTCTACTTTTGGTTTTTCAACTTACGACCGACTCAATAATAACAATAAAAATATCATAAATATTATTAAATATATGAAAATACAAACATTGACTATACTATATGTTAATTATTTTGAGATTATATTTTGGAACCTAATTAAGATATAATAATTGTTTTGTATAAATTTGTCCCGGACTCTTTGCATATATACAAATCTAAATCCATGAACATAATTTATTCGGAGATATTAATTTACGCTCAAATTAGATAACAAATCTCGAATATGGAAACTTCAAATATTTTTCTTTTTTCTTTTTTTTTTAACATCTCTTCAAATATTTATCTATTTAACCTTTTTGGTAAATTTGGAATATCTTTCCTGAAAAAACAGTACCCATAAATTCCAAATCCAAAGGATACTAACGGTAACGGCAGTAACAATAACAACGGTCCACGAAACCCAAACCCATCTGGGTATGACGTCATCAGCGCCTCCACTGACGTAAAACCACGTCATCTTAACGATAAGCAACGGCGCTATAACGCACCTGCAAACGCTATACGACGCGTAAAACGGCACCGTAACGGACCGGTGCAAACTCACCGCTAGTGGCGCGTCTTTACCACGCGCATCCGCTAGCGTCCACGTGTTCTGACACGCGCTGGTCGCTTCGGCTACGACGAGCAGCGCGAGCAGAGCGCAAGCGCCGTGAGCAACCATGTAACGGCACGTGAGGAAAACGAAGAGCACGGCGGCGTGATGAGCTGCGAAAAGCGAGTCTCCGCCGGCGGGAGAAGGAAACACGGCGAGGTGGACGAGATCAGCGAGGAAATAAGCGGAGCTGAAATCAAGAACAGAGTTTTGAGATCGGGTGTTGACGGAGGAGAAACCACGGTTAGGATCGGAGAGTAAGGCGTTGGTGGCGAGAACGACGGCGGAGACGCCGTGGAGGAGGGAGATTAAACAGCTGGAAGCTAAAGGACGAGTCTCTGGAGTCCATTTATTGAAAAGGAATAAGTAACCGAGAAGATAAACGAAGATGAAGATAAAGAAGAATAATGGAAGATCTTTGGAATAAGTAATTGTTTCCATTACTGATAAATAATAACTTGAAGCTTTTGAAGTCGTCGATACATATATGTGTATATATATAGAGAAGATGATTGATGGAGATGGTTGAGGTTTGTTTAGATAAACGAGGAAAGGGTTTGGTGAGGGAAACAAAACCTAAAGCGACGGCGTTTCCAATGAGATGGTTTCATAATTTTACTAATTTCATTCAGTTTTTTCGGTTTAGTTCGGTTGAGATATTACTGTTTTAGAAACTCGATTCCAATTTCCAAGTATAGAAGTATTTAGTTTAGGTTCGGACCATGATTATAATCAAACTTAATACCATATATTTTTCTATATATTTCATCAAAATCATAAATGTATAATGAACTAGATTAGGATCCGTCAGATTGACAGATTATTTATTTTTTAAAAATTTAATAGAAATTAGAAGTAAAAAAATTTTGTAGAAAAATGGTATCCCAATCTGCTTAAGAAAAAAATTAAAGAAAATTTTTATTTAGTAAATAGAATTATTTACATATTCTTTTCTCGTCTAAATAAACTAGTTTGCATATATATATTTAAAAAAATTTATTAATATCTATACTAGTATTTTTGCAACACTTTGGTGACGGGTGGGTAAAAATATTTCTGGGTTAATCGGATATCCGACCCGTTTTTTAAATTCCTTCACAAAAAATTTGTTGGATCGGGTTATATTTAACCCAACTCATACACCGGATATTTCATATTTAATAATTTAGATATTTAGAAGATTTGATTAAGATTTATAATTATGATTCTCCTATCATCTTTGTTTGATTTGTTTTTAACTGTTTTGAATCATCATATAATACATAAAAAAAAAAAAAAAATCAATTTTTTTTCTGCATATACTGTGATTCGAAATTTTAAAAACCGACATATATCATCCAATTGACGAAAATGTGTGTTCAACGTTCTACATCGATTAAAATATTTACACAATGATTCAGAATCATATCATAAATAAGATCAACATTAATAAAATAAATGAGTTTTTTGGCCGGACGGGTTTGGCGTGACGGGTTTTTGAATAAACAATAATAAAAAGATTAAAATATCATTAATCCGCCGCTTCAATACGGATTAAATCCTTTTTGTTTAATACCACCAATATTAGACATATTAAATCAGTCTCATTTAGAAAAGATTGTATAAAACCAAAAATTGTCCCGTGGTATAATGTTACTTAATAAAAATATTTATAAAATTTTAAAATATATCAAATTCAAAATGGATTCGACCACGGAAACGATTCCTTGGATACTTCGAAAAATGTCCGTTTGCTTAGGACAAGACTTTTTATACTTTCTTTTCGTTAAAGGAATCTATTGATTCTCTCCCAATTGGTTGGATCATTAACATGCCGCTTTTGTACATATTAAATCTTCAGTTTATTAAAATATAAATGTTTTAGAGAATGATATGATTTGTAAATTTTTATATATAATAAATAATCATTAAATTTTAAAATAAAAACAAATCACGGGACGGGTTAAGAAATTACGTAATGAGTTATATTTCGGAAAGGATTTATATGGCGGACGAATTTGAATCAATATTTATATACCGCTTTAATACGGGTCAAATCCTCAATTTATTAATAATTGTCTCGTGGACTCGTGGTATACAGTTACTTTATAACAATTGTAAACTATAATATAAATAAATATGTTATAACGAGATACAATTTATAAAATATTTTTATACTAACTTTAAAATTAAATCATCCCGCGGTGTACCGCGGGTTAAAATCTAGTTTATTACAAAAATCTAGTAATGTTAAATGGTCAATTACAAAAAGTTTTGCCAAATATTCACCATTATCAATAGTATTACCAAATTTTCTAAAAATTTAATTCAGCAATTATCCCCAAAGCTAGTTTATTAATGTAGTTCAAGCCTTCGAGGGATGTCCAAATCGGATAGAAATGAAAAAGGTAGATTCTGCACAGAGAATCATTATCAAGAACAAATGTAAAAATAGATTCGTACACAAACAATGGTCTTTGAATCTTTTTTTTTTTTTTAATAATCATACACTAAAGGACTCTTCATGAAGTCTCATGGCAAAAAGCTTCTAAGCGTTTGCTTCGTGTTTTACATAATTTAAACACCACACTGGCTTAAGAGAGATCCATTCCAAAACTCATTAAACAATGAGCCAAAGATTGGACCTTCGCTTAATAAGGGCTCTAAAGAAGGGCTACCTTCATTTCTGGCGTCTGCGTGTGTTCAGACGTACATGTGTACCTCCCCTGGCTATTGTTTTATATATAATACATGTATATATTTTATACACTTCTTTTGTATCAATCAATTTCACCTTCTTCCACGTCGTTGGTTAGGTTTGGAATAGCGGGAGCCTCGGGTTCTTCATCATCGTCTTGTTTCATGTACAGTCCGAGTTGCTCAAGAGGGTTACTTCCTTTGAGGTTGAAACTTCCAAATGCGTCTAAAGGTCTCTCGGGGCTGGTTTCATCGGGTTTTGGAACCGCAGGAGCCTCGGGTTCTTCTTCATCATCGTCGTCTTGTTTCATGTACAGTCCGAGTTGCTCCAGAGGGTTACTTTCTCCGAGGTTGAAACTTCCAAGTGCGTCTAAAGGTCTCTCGGTGCTGGTTTCATCAGATTTTGGAACCGAAGGAGCTTCGGGTTCTTCTTCATCATCATCTTGTTTCATGTACAGTCCGAGTTGCTCAAGTGGGTTACTTCCTCTGAGGTTGAAACTTCCAAGTGCGTCTAAAGGTCTCTCGGGGCTGGTTTCATCGGCTGAGCTTGGTAATTGCTCAGGTGCACTCGAACTCAGCATCTCTAGGTCCTCGAGAAACCGTGAGTTCTCGTTGATCTCTACAGTTTTCTCCATCTGCAAGGAAATCAAAGACAAAAAATATAAGAATCCAAGAAACAAACAACATATAACTTTCATTGGTAGAACATTTAAAATCATCAGAGAAAATGTTCCATATTTTACACATGTTTATCTTCATCCAGTGTTTTAGCGTTTGTGATACTGTAATGTAAGCTTAGTCATGCGTTTGCTATCTACCTTCAATAAAGCTTGGCGAGCGGCTTCTCTTTCTAGTTCTCTCTTCCGCTTAGCCTCAGCAGCAGCTTCTGCAGCGGCCTCTGCTTCAGCTTGGCGACGAGCATCTTCAGCAGCCTTTGCTTCAGCTTGTAGCCGCGCTTTCTCTGGCAACAAAAGAAGATTTTCAATTTCAAGAACATAAAAGTAAAACAAATTGTTGTTGTAAGAATGATCCAGAGAAACAACAAAAAATTAATATATAAAAAAGTAAACAACCTTTCTTCTTCTGCAATTCGAGTTCTTCTCTTTCTTTGCGCAGCCTTTCTGGATCGCCCTTAATACCATTCTGCTCTCAAGAGAGATCAAATTTAAGCCATATAAGTTCCCAAAGGATCAAGAAGACTGCTTTAAAGATAGTGTAGAGTATGTGATCAACTAATGCAATTGCGGACGGAACGTTGGTAATGATTTCTAGCTCTGTTTCACCACTATGCTCAGGTAACAATTCTGATAATTTTTTTTTAAACAAAAACTGAAATAAAAATTCTTCTTTCCTAATCTATATTACCAAGCTTCTGTAATTGTTTAGACTAAATCCAAATATTCTGCGACAAAATATAAAACCAAGCTGCTTCTATTCTTCCTGGCCTCCTATAGTTAATAAACGATTGCCAGTATTCAAGCCAAACAATTTTAACAGGAGTTCTAGCCCGAAGCAAATACAGATAGGCTAAATTGAGGATAAGTACAGACCTGTGGAAGAGGTTTCTCGCGTGCTTTTAGAATGATATCTGCAAACCGGTTCTTCAACAGCGCAGCTCTATAGCGCTTCTCAGATGAAACTGGAGTCTCTAATATATTTCCTGAAGCATTAAGTTGACAAAGTATGAGATTACTCACTTCATGGCTCAAATAGAGAAAAAGGGAAACTTTGTCTACATCTCACCCTCATGTTGGATATCCGATTCATCCGAACTAGGCTTTTGCTGAGAACAAATATCCATCTGCTCCAGCGCACCAGTAGATTCTGTAATGAATACACCAGCGATACAAACTGTAAATATGTATCCCGAGAAAATGCTTTAACAGTAATTTTGCATCCAATAGCGATAACCAACATCTGTTTACATTTCCCTACTGTAGCCAACTATAGATATTACAACAGAGTAAATCTTGGATAGATCTATCTAGGAAACTGAGAGTGCAGAGGAATTAGGGTAGAGAAAAGCTTATGAATAATCTTAAGACCATAATACAGAATTTAACGGAGATAAAGTACTCACGACTTCCTCCGAAAAGATCATCAATTCTTGTATTTTCATCTCTTTGCGCCTCAGAATTTGCAGTTTCAGGCATCTGAAGGTTAACCAACTACGTGGTTTAGATTCTTTAAAAATTACATGCCTTGAAAAGCTGATATTATAGATTTATACCTTGGAAGAATCCACTTGAACCATGGGTTTAGCGTCATCAGATTGATCTTCCGAGCTACCAGAGTCCGAATCTGAAAAGCAACACTTTACTCAGTAAACACAGAATCTGTTACGATAACACGATGCTACAGAAACCTACGAAACCCTCTATATCATGAAAACAGGCTCCATCAATGAAATTGCCAGAATCAAATTTGACAAACTTTCAATCATGATTTCAATGATTGTATCAACAATGACATTTTGAGGAACCCACAACCACCATAGAATTTGATAAGATCTAGTAAATATATTAAATTCGATAGACAGGAAGGATATTTGGGCAAACAAAAAGCGATACAAAAATCATGATATGAACATAGGAGAGGCAATACATAAAGCTTCTCATATATATATATGAGTCAGTGACCTATTATAACATCCATAGGGACCTACGACAAGAAAATGTTATGAAGGAGTTGACGAATTGCAACTAACCACTGGAGCTCCTTGAGATAGGAGGTTCATTCCCACCGACATACTCATCAGCCAATTCATTTCCTAGAAAAAAACACAGAAGAGCAAAAGTAAGACAACTCGTAACACAATGACCACTGACCAGTAATAAACCAGGAACATAATTTGCAAACAGAATTTGAGGTTCACCTCGTTGCAGCGACGAATTGCTCGGTCCTGATCCATTAATAAGCTGCAACAAAAGAAATTCGCTTCTTCTCAGTAAAGTTATCATTAAAATGTATTCCAACAGGTAAGATGATGATTACCTCTATTTCACATGGTTCAACATTCGACTGCTTTGCTTCTTTATTTTGTATATATTCATCTAGAAGGTTTCGAAGAGTAACCAGTACTTCATCACTGAGAACATCAATGTCTATCTCAATTTCGTCTTCCGCAATTTCTCCTCCATTTGAACTGTGTTTCTTCAAAAAGTCAATGATATGTGCAGGAAGTTCGTCGAGTAGTGATTCGAGTTGTCTGCCCAATCTATGCCTCTCCTCTGCAGTCATAAGTTGCTTCACAGGCTCTGGAACACTCTCTCTAACAGGTGAAGCCATCTTTCTCTTCTTTGCCGGAGGGACAGATATAGCAGCTTTCCTTTCATCATTGGGCTCCAATGTTATTACAGGCAACGTTTGCATGCTACAAGCTGGTAATTTCTTTTCGATAGTTTTCCACCGCGCTTCAAATAATTTACTAAGGATATCCCCCATAATGTGAACATCATGTCCTGGAGGGTTATATGTCATTGCATTGGTAAATGTAAGCCTCACATCAGCAGCAAACTCATGTGGGCTTGAGTATACACCAGACGCTAAGTTCTTCTTTACTGTCCCCAAGTCCATGGGATGTTTGATAATAGTGAGATAGTCAGGTATGTTCAGTTTCACTACATCAACTGGCGCCTGAAAAACCCAAGAATGTGGATGAGACCACAGTTTTTTCAGTAGCGTATCACATTGCTTCATCAGTGTAATGTTAGTAGTGCTAGTCATAGACTCTTTTGACGACTCAAACTTCCCCGAGGTACCACGATTCCATCCACGAGAACTCCCAGTCTGATGCCGAACTTTCTTCCCCGATCCCATTGCAAAATCAGATGTCTTCTTCGAATTGCTGACTCGAGATGATAACTTTTGAGCAGTGTTAAAACCCACCCTATCACTAGTAGACGACACAGCAGCAGGGTTCATCCTCTGCAACTCAGCATTCCTAATAACTATCTTTGTCTGCTCCAACTCCAGCTTAAGCCGATTAATCAAATCCTTCCTCTCAGATTGTGACATGTTATACAAGGAAATGACTTGTCTCTGAACACCATAAGGATCTTCATCATTAGAATTCAACATAATACACTTTCTTGCAGGAGTGCTTGAATTCTCAGACGCAGTGACCTCAGTATCAATCTGTGCAGAGCTCCCAGAGCCCTCTGATTCATCAGGCGCTTCAAAAGTATTCCGATAATACCCTCCCGGGAACGCAGCACTTTCAACCATCGTTTTAACAAGAATTACAAACAGATATAATTCTCACTAGCTTCTATAACTCATTTGCAAGACACCTGAATCATATATAAATTCACTTAATCAACAGAAACTAATACTATCCCCTCAAAAACCACTAAGACGATTCTTTTCCCTATTCCGACAGATAACAAGTTCAAAACATTTTCCACAGGGACAAGAAACTTGTTATTACAGAAGAACCCAGATCTAATCAATGTTCGATGCTCATAAAAATGAAACCTTTAGCTGTCAAATTTCGTTCCAAAACTCAAACCCTAGCCTGATGCCAAATTCCAAACGAAACTCTGTTTTTCTAAACTAATTATACGAAATTGAGAAAAACCCACAAATCAAAAGAGATCGAATCTTACCATTTGAATCTCCTAAAGCTGAATCCGCAAAGATTCTTCACAAACCAAAATTCAACCTCCTCCACATAAATTAGCTTCAAATCAGACAACACGGAGCTTGTAATCACAAATCTTTAGATACGAGCTCAACACGGAGAAGAGAATCGATCAACGGAAAAATTATTCCAGAGAAATTCACAGAAACCCTAGAATAAAAATCGCCCCCAATTTCGGAATCTCCAAAGATCCGTGAACCAATCCACAAACACGGCACAAAGTAGAAGATTTGACCAACCAAAGCCTTGAATCTGGAAATTGACTACGAAATCCAAACCTAAGACTCTCGTGATTCAATCGAAAGACAAGTCTTAAAAGATCAGAGCTTTTCGCGTGAGAGAAAAAAAAAAGCTGGAGATAAAAACGAAGTCGAAGAGAAAGAGAGAGAAAAAAAAAGTTTTCTTACACTAATTTGTTTATGTTTTTAAAGTACACCGACAAAAGCCTACCTCTGATTTTTGATCGGACGGTTTATATTGATTGTAGAAGTAGCCGCCAGATCTATATCTAACGGTCAATGTGATCTTGTCTGCGCGGATTTAACGAGTTAATTAACGTACGTGTCCTACGTGGCATTATTTTAACGGTAGAAAATTAACTTGTGACGTTTATTGGACAGTGATCGTTGACTTTTTTATTGGTCATGTGAGTTTGCGTGTAGATTTATTACACTCTAGAAGCTTGGTGAGTTCACTAGCTAGATGAAAAACGACATGAAGTCTGTAGTGGAATAGCAAACGACATTCATGATTCGTTTCTTCAGATGTTCCGTTGAACTGTGTGCCATTTATTCATTGTGTTTGACAAGAGTTTTTTTTCCTTCTAGAAAGTCCGTCCCTCTGTGTTGTTTTGCTTGAGTTTAATAATACGAGAAATTCCTAAACTATATAGAGATTAATAATGGAAATAGATCAAAAGTCAAAAATGGTGTTCACTGTTCACAATTTGACACGAAGCGTTTTAGAAAAGGGGCTTTCTAGAAGAATTCGACCCAATAACAAACCAAATGGATGGGCTAAGCCCATTTTTTATTTTATTACAAATAAGACCAATTTAATATAAGTACCATAAACACACATCTTCTGGTGGGCCTTTTTTTCTTTCTTTCTCTACTTTCTCTTTAATTCTCCGTTGGTTTGATTTTAGTTTTTTTTTTTTTTTTTTTTTTAGTTGATTCGGTTAGTAAAACTTTAATCGAAACTAGTTCAGTTCGATTTGTGTTTAATTTGGTTTGAATTCAATATGTGTTTAATTTGGTTTGAATTCAATATGTGTTTGATTCGGCACAATTTATGTTTTGTTCGATTTGGAATTAAGTATGGTATATAAGTTTTTGATGAGGTCATAGGTATGAAGCTCTTTACTTAAAGTCTTGGGTTTTATGCAAAAAAATCTTCCAACTCGTCCATTTTTTCAAATTTACCATTCAATTCCGAAAAATGTAGATTAATCCTAACGAAGTCCAAATAATACGCAATGTAACATTTATTCGTTACCGTAAAGTTCGTTCAAGTTCGTAAAATTTTGACAAATAATATGTCAAATCGAAGGTCCTCCGCGATGAAGAGTTCAACTTTACATTTAAATTTTAAAAAACGAATGTACATGACCCGAAAAACGTTTACAAGATACGTATAAGAGTTATATTGCGTATTATTTTGGACTTCGTATGATTAATCTGCATTTTTTGGAGTTGAAGAGTAAAGTTGCAAAAATTGACGAATTGGAGGGTTTTTTCACAAAACCCTAAAGTCTACAACTTCAAGTACGTAAACCAACCTTATTATCAAACAAAAACTCTAACATATTTGTCTTCCATTCGTCTTATAAATATATTTCCAACTCATTTACCGCTTGTAAACTAGTCTTCTTAGCAACCATAAGTTTAAAAAAAAACATAAACACATTGTTAATTTCCATATTCTCACCATCACAACACAAGCATGATATATAGGACCATGACTTAACTAGTGTTTTGGGCACTAATTACTAGCTATATACCTAAAATAGTATCCACAAAACATTTATCACCAGACTCATCATTTTACCCCACTGTCGACTACTTTTCCGTTATATATTCAAAAACTCTATGAATTAAGACCATCTTGAGATTAATACCAAATATACCCGCCAAATAAATATTTATTTCTGTACCTATCCAATATTGATAAAACTTAGTCTTTGGTGCATAAGTCATATCACTCGATACAAAATCTTATCATGAGCCAGACTTGATTGAATTTTTCATTCCCATTATAACAACCGTTTGAGGTCTATCCTAGTGGTAAAGGGCCTCCAGCTGGGGGTACCCGCCACATGAGTTCGATTCCTGGCCACTGCGAAATTTACATGGCGGCTGCAGGTTTTCAGGACCACGTCAGCTCCGTTTAGACACGACGCTAGTCGGGTCACTTCGGGACCAGACACCTGGGTTATCAAAATATATATATATATATATATATATATGCTATGTTAGGGTATCTATGGTGATGGAACGTCGAGATTTTGGTCCAACCAAGTGGTGTACCAATGAAAGACCTCCATCTATTATACCACTAACGAAAGCGACAGTACACGTGGAGCCTCTTTACGCCAATAGAACCCTACTTCAACCACACAAAATAGTACTACAAGTTTATCAATCAATATTATAGATTATCTAAATAAATATTTTATCCGATACCATCTTTTTTTTTTTCCTTACTCATTAGTTTAAGGCTCCCGATACCATCTTTGATTCGTCTCTACTCAAATCTGTAGAGATGCTACCATACCATTCGTTATATTAGTTTATCGGTTTATGCTATATTTTAAATCTTCCGTACATGATAGTGTATAATTTATTAGCATCTTTTTATCTCTTCTAAGTTCAATGTATAATCGTTTACTTGAAATTACAAATACTGTAAATGAATAAAACTATCAGACAAACTGTAAAGCCATATGCTAAAATAGGTTGGTATGAGAGAAAACACAGCATATGGAGAAAAAAGCTTCAATTTATTATATTTTTCGTCTATTATATCATCATCATTCTTATCTTGTTAGCAATATTATTTTTATTATTTATGATAAACAAGATTAATTTTTACAATAGATTGACAAAGAATGTTTTTTTTTTGAACGATAAAAATCTACTCTTAGATACCAGTAAAAAAAATAGAATAAAACTCTTTCTTCTAAAATTGTCAAAAAAAGTAATTAAAACAAAAGAATTCTTCTATCTTCTAAACAACTAGAATTTTTTTTTCTTCTTGATGAGACTTTTTTTTTCCTTTATTTTTTTTTTCCATTTCTTCTACATTTTTACCCAGTCAGACCCAACAAATGGTTTAGAATGATTCTACAATGAATTTTTTTTGTCAACTTATATTTCGTATTTGAAAAGAACATATTTTCAATAAAAACAGCAACTAAAATTACCAAAAATATGTAACACTTAAAAAAATTAATAGTAATCAAAGTTATGCTTATATTCAAATCCTAAATATTTTGTCAATGCTTATCAGCTTATGTCAATTTTTGAAAGTACGTCATATATTCGAATCTTTATCCTACGTTAAACATTTAAGATTAAATTATATTTATCTAGTGTTGGTATAGTTTAACTGGTGTATTAGTTCTGTGAAAACATAATTCAAAGTTAAAGACTTCAAATACTCATTAAGAGGAGGACTAAAACTTGAATTTATTGGTAAGAAAGAAAGAAAGAAGAAAGAAAAATTGAGTGGTCTCAGGTCAGAATACAACAGAACAGACACGTGAAAGGCTATCATTCGTTTTCTCTGTTACCAAAATTCCATCGCACTCAAGAGACTATTCCACTACACGCGAGCACAAAGACTTGACATCGAACGTACGGCCAGATTTTAAGCTCAATAAGACACGTGAACGACCGAACCAATCAACGGATCCTAGATAGTGATGACATAAGCTTGTCGGAAGAAAATCGAAGGTAGAAATGTGGAGACCCTGATTGGTTGCTGTTGTTCTCTTATCAAATGCCACGTATATGATTTATCTGTGTGAGTGTTACAACTTTATTTATTCTCCTTCCTCATTAGAACTTTTGGCTTTTTTTTCTTTCTTTATTTGTCAACCAATGAGGCTTCTCCACATGCACAAATAAGCAGAACCCACGAAGATATTGCTTTATACATCGGCTAGTACTATTATATAGTTAAAAAGTTTTTCTTTCTCTTTTTTGATAATGCTCCTTTTTTTTTATAATTCACCATTATATATAGTTAAGCAGGTCTAACATGTGTAAATCTGCACATATATGGGCGCTTATATACAGTGTATTTACTCATATATATGGATGATGAATCTGAACGATTCAGCCAACAACTTTTAACGTTCCTAGCTAGCTCGTACATATAGAATAATGAAATATGCGCAACAATTATTATAGTATAGTGCATGTAAATGAAGCTCAAATTTGTAGATATTCAATATTGAGAACCAAGTGCTATAATTTGTATATATCATATATAATGTGTTCATATACAGACACATATCCTTTTGTTAGATACATATAGTGATGGATGTATGAATGCATCTTTCAAGAAGGTCGTTAATTAAGATGATGTTAATTACGAGTCTTTAAGAAACAAATATAAAAATGTTTACACCGAAGCTGTGAATATATATATATATACTTATCATAAAAATAGGGACATGAAATATATACGTATATGAGTCTTCCAAGTATACACGTTACAATGACATGAAATATATAGAGCATGTTGTGCTTAAATAAAAAATGGTATATATAGCATCTTATATATATATATATATATCAATATATATGTATGTATAAGTGTATGAGTATGTGTGTATATATATAATTAATGTTGGTGCAAAAAGCTTAGTGTGAAGAATTTAATTCGAAGTATGACACTCAATAGGGTCCCCATATAGTTCATGTGTTTTTGTCTCTCAATCAATATATTTTCGTTTTTTATATATATATATATATATATATATATATATATCAGATCTAAGTTTATAACATATTCTTTAGTTTAATATCTTATTTGTTTGCATTTCACTTTCAACACTATGATACATATGCATTTTTATCAACAGATTTGACATTTTTCCGAGATATATAATACATGTGAAATTATCAGTGATATCTTAAAACACACGGATCTGTTATATGTTTAAAAGATTTATCGATCTGAAATAAAATTAGAAGCCAAGATTGTTACAAAACAATACAATGGCATCTTTTATTTAGTCTTTGCCAATAAATATATGACATTATTACGGTATGTTCTATATATTTAAGCTTTCCAGCTTCTCCACACTTCATCCAACATTAGCATCATTTGTTTCCTTCTTACGCATCTTATAATAGTCTAAACAAAGTTGCTTGAAGTGATTATAAAGTTTTGTGTATTAGACACACTCTAAAATCACATAGCTTAATAATCGTACCCTCATGTTTCTTGCAGCAATCACCATCAAAGCCAGAGAGTCAGAGCAGCTGTTGTGTCTAGCCTCCATGCAAAGCCACCAAACTCCATTTTCCACACATCACACGGCACCGTTTTTGTATACTTTGTTTCCTTCCACGTGTATTGCATCCTCACCCTACACGTGAAAGCTTGGTAGTTACAATGCATCACCGCCGTTGCCTCCTCCGCCAACAACCACACCACAACATCCGGGGACACCGACGTTGAATCATCACCGGAAACATTCCTCCGGTAAGCCTCGTTGACCCACACCACACGGTTCGAACCATCCGATACGAACGCTGGACACGTGTCCTTACCAAGATTATCAACGATCTCAACGTCCGTAAACCCCACCGCATGGGAACTCAAACTACCATCACAAACGCTTGTGACTGACTCCACCGTCACCCACGTCTCCATCTCCGCTGTGCCGCCGCCGTTAAACGTACCCCACGTGTTGGTTTCTTGTGTTTCCTCTCCGATTATCGTTTTCACCGATGGATCGAAACTATCCTGATCCAACGGCGAGTACTCACCGGAAATATCTGATTTTTCCGGCAAGAGTTGCAACGTCACGACTTCAGTTTGTTCCCGATTATCAGACAAGTCAGATCTGCTCTTACCTCGACACGTGCCTTTATTATTCTTCGAAACCCTAACGTACTTTCGTTTGGTTCGTTTGCTCATACCGTATAAGTTGTTGTTATCTCCTACACCACATGACTGACCAGTCGTCGGCTTTGGAGCGATGGGACGGTACCGGAGCATGAGAGCGTCAACGGAAACTTTATCCTGCGCCTTACCGGCGTATCTTAGCGTTCCCAACCACTCATCTTGATCCATTTTTATCTTTCTCTCTCTTATCATACACTCTCACTCTGTTCTTTCTTTCTTTCTTTCTCTCTCTTTCTCTATAGTCTTTCTGTGTGTCTCTCTCCGGTAAGCCGAAAAGATTATCATTCGGGGCAATGTGAAGGAATGGTAATTCGCCACGTGGCTTTAGGGTTAGCGTAAGATACAGTTAAATCATTGGATGGTTTCTGTGCATCTCTTATGTCATCGTTTGCACCATATTTATGTCTTTTTTTTTAATATGTTTTTTTTTTTTTTGCAGATTAAGATAAGGGTATCAATTTTTTTTTTTTGTTGTATCATGAATAATTTGATAAACGATTTAGAAGATCATATTAATCAATCATACATATCGTACGATATGATGTAACGCCATATACATATATTGTACGTCAACTCTCTATATATGACTATAATTAACTGTAGATGTGTCAGTGTATATATATATATAGACACATATATGTATAACTGATTGTGTACGTTTTTGTGTGTATGTGACTATGTGAGATCTATAGAAGAATAATTTCTAAGGATTTTAAATAACCACATCCATAGTATATGTATGTTGCATTAGTTTATCATACCATACATAAAATTGTTACGACTAAAAATTACTAGCAAACATATAGAATGCAAGTGAATAGAATAATCGTTTAGAATTTCAATCAAGATCCACGTACATGTAAACAACAAACGCTTAAATTATCTTTTTTATGTTACATATGCCATAGAAAAATTACGGTTTGATCCGGATTATAATACGATTGCCAAGTACTATTAGATAACCATTAAGAGTATAAATTATGGTCATTTAGATTAACTTTTTGTATTTTTTTTTGTTGATTAGCAAAATGTATGGTCCAACACATAATAGTATTAAATGTTTTGACGGGCCACTATAGACGCATAGACACACACGTTGTTGAATAGAAGCAATGTGACTATATCTTTACCCACAAAGATGCATACACATAGATCCATATGATATGGTTATTATCCATGGCGTCCAATAATTTTGGTATATATATTCCCCAATTTTCTTTTATTTTTACTAGATTTTTATATTATATGAATGCATGGGTCCTACGTAAACACACAATATGCTGTTTCACCTTATTCGAAGGCTCTTATTGGTCCTCGTAATCTCCGACCAATCAAATTGCATTATGTGTCTTCCATTTCTCACTTGAAAAGCTGTTATGTCATGACTCATCAAACATTTGAAACAATATATATTGTTTTTTGTTATTTGAATTTTTATTAACGCATGAAGGACAGATACATTTTGAAATATAACTAGAGCTGGCGGAAAATATTACATTTGAATACGTAAACAAGAAGAAGGAATTATGCGCATCATTAGCATGTCTACATATACATGAAATGTTAGCGATATACGGTAACGATATTTGCAGACAATAACATAGTTGTAAAAAAAAAAATAAAAAAAAAAAAAAAAAAAAAAAAAAATAACATAGTTGTAAAAACATGCAAAAACTCAACTGCCTGGAGTTCTTTCTTGTTTCGTCGTCAAAGATTTTATACAAAAGGAAGATACTCATACAAAGGTTTAGAGACTAGATATAACCAGATAACCTGAATTACGTGGATAATACTATATTGAATTATAAATTTGTTCACGTGTTTTAAAAAATAGATTTTCATTTATCTAATATTTTACAACAAATTTTGTTAATACAGTCCAGATAGATTCTATTTAACAAAAGAAACTTTTATTGTAACACAAAAGGATTAGTAACTAGACTTCTTTGGTTCTTTGGTTCTTTGGTTCGGTTCGGTTCTTCGGTTTCAGCCTTTTAGGATCTATATATAAGGAAATCGAATATTTTTCGGATCAGTTCAATTAATTTTCGGTTCGGATATTTCAAAAGAGAACCGATATATCACCGAACTATATTCGGGTTCGGTTCGGATATTTTTACCCAAAGTACCCAAAAAAAAACTGAATACCCAAAGAACCGAACTGAATACGTAATACCCAAAGAACCAAACCTCACCTTCATCCTTTGAACTTTTACATTTGAACTTTCTTTTACCAAGTGTCGTTAGCTCAACTGGTAAAGATTCTAGGCGAAGCTTAGAAATTGCCGGTTCGAGTGACGCTTGGGACGAAACTAATATTACATGCTGTGGTTCGGGCATGGGGGGATTACGTTCTTTGGCCCAGAACCTCCTGGTATTCAAAAAAAAAAAAAAACAAAGAACCAAACCTCACCTTCATCCTTGATCATCCATTCCTCTCCTCCTGTGACAACAACACACAAGTTAGTAAGTTACATACCAAAAGTGACAACAAAGAGAGATTATAAACTGGAGATCTAACTTGCTTGCTTCATTTGTAACAAGAAAAATTTTATTCAAAAAAAAAAAAAGTAACAAGAAACGAACAAAGAAGATGAATTATAGAAGAAGAAAAATCGAAGACAAATAAAAATCAAAGGATCAGAGAAGAACATAAAGAATATCGAAGAAGAAGAATCGAATAAAAAAGAAGCATTGAAGAAGAAGAGGAAGATATACATATACATGCGACTGAATTGTTGATGGTGATGATGATTAATGAAGCCTTTGAAGAATCGTTTTAGGAGAGAATGAGAGAGATATAAGAGAATTCGGGAAAGTAAAAGAATGCCTTTGGGCTGATACGAATTGGGCTAAAATGATTTAGGCTTAATTATAGTTTTGTAGATTAATTAGTACCGTGGAATAAAGTCCTATTTATGAACCTGATTTGGCTTATAATTGCAGCTATTGTCTTTTTGTGGGTGTCATGGGTTAGGAGATACTTAGGGTCTCATGACTGATTTAAATGCATCGGGTGCGGTTGCAATTGTGGGAGATTGCGGAATCGGATATTTGCTGTTTCAAGCGTTATTAAGTATTTTGAACGATTGGTTTATGATTAAATTTTGGTATATACTTTTGTTTATATAACAAAATAAACAACAAAAATAATATAACAAAATAGACCACAAATTATTTTTTGTGCTATATTTTGTTATAACATTTTGGTAATATAACAAGATATATATTTTCCTTTTGACAATCATTTTTCTTTTATAAATTTTAAGGTCATTTTTCTTTTCAAAATTAAACACCTAAACATCACAAATCAAAATATATATATTACGGTGTTATAAATTCATTTTTCTTCTTAAAAATTCAAAGGTTGGTTATATATATATATAAATATATTATTGTTTTTTTAGAAAGAAAAATGACTTTTGAATTTATAAAAGAAAAATGATTGCCAAAAAGAAAATGAATATTTTTTATATCACCACAAATCAAAGTATATACTATGGTGTTATATATATATATATAAATGAATTTGGTATATACTTTGAATTTTATAATATATATATAATTCAAAGGTCATTTTTCTTTTTGAAAACACCATAATATATATATATACACATATTAAAACTGACCTTTGAATTTATAAAAAGAAAACTGACTCTATAAAGAAAAATGAATTTATAAATACCATAACATATACTTTGATTTGTGGTGTTTATGGATATATATAAATGAATTTGGCATATATTTTGAATTTCATAATATACAAAATTCAAAGGTCATATATTATGATATTGTTTTTGGTAAAAATAAGTTATAATTTATTATTTTGAAGTTTTAATCAAAACAAATATATATAAAAAATTATTTATAGAGAATATAATTTTTTTTTCTTTTATATTTGTTTTTGGGTCAAAATTGGGTTAAATAGAATCAAAATCAATTAAGTTTGGTCAAAATTCAGGGCAAGCCAAACCGGATTAAATATTGTTGGTTAGCTGATCGGTTCAATTGGAGACCTAGTTTTAAGAACAAATCCAAAAGTACGTGTAGTTTTATTGAGATTAAAGTTTTTTTGGGTGGTTTTTTCAAAGACAAAAAGTTTAGGATGAGATAGCAACTAGTATAGAACTGAAAAATCAGTCAATCCTTAAGTACAACAATAAATGAATTGAAACCTAGTTATCTCAATCTCCTAGGAACTTTTCCAAAGAAGTTGTCTCCACAAATAATGAAGAAATTGAGATGAATCAACGGAAAGAGAAGCATGTGAAAGAGCATGTAAAAGAACATCTTGCGTCAACTCTAGTCAACTCTATCTCCGCAAGTTCTTGTTTAGGATAAGGTACTGAAAAATCAAACAAAAAAGTGATCAAAACTTTTGACAAAGTTAATTAAAGGACCTCACAGAATTTTTAGAATGATCATACAATAGTATGCTAAGGCATGTACTCATGTAAAATTTACAAATACCGCACAAAATTTGTTTTCCTCAAAATCTATAACAAATATGCATTTCAGTTATCATCAAATCGAGATGATGGATTATCTCCAAATATGTGTATGGTATTAGAAGTCAACTTCGCATCATAATGTTCTAAGGCAACAATTGTTTTATTGTTTTAATAAGAGAACGGAACCATAATTCCAAGTTAGGGTTTTGAATTTAGAGACCTTGCCTTCCTCACTGCTTGTTCCTTTTTGGTTGATCGGATGAGAGCTTTTCACGACGTCGGCATAACTCATCGGTGAGTTTGATTTCTCAACCTCCCTCTTGCTTGGAATCTCCGAGCGTTCAGCTTGTTTGAGTTTTGATGCTCCCGCTTGATTGATACTCTTCACTTTGATTTCAACTGATTTCAGTTTCTTCTCCTCTTGTAGGCTGTTGAGCTGCTAATGAGATCAAGCAGTGTGGTGGTTGTCAGATTTCACTTAACACCTCCATTTTTGTTTCTTTGATAATTTATCTCTCTCTTCTTCTTAATTCCTCTTGACAATGGTTGAAGTTGTTGAGATTGCTATTCTCATTGTGATAATCATCATCCTCTTTCTTCTCTTCCTCTTTGTATTCAAGTTCAAAAGAAATTCTTTTCCATCTTCTTCAGCTGGTTCAGCAGTTCTTCCTCCCTTTAGCGTTGATACTCCATCTCTATCTACTCCGCCTCCTCGGTCTCCTCGGTGGAACTTGCTTGCTTCTCCATTCACTAGAAGATCTGAAATCCCAATGTCATTCCAGACCCCATCCCCAATCCCGGTCTCATTCGGTAGCCCATCCATAGCATTCCACACTCCATCTCTATCTACTCCTGCTGGCTTTGTCTATCACGCAGGAGAGACTTCATCAACCTTACACGCTCTCTCTCCAAGAGATGGTCCAAGAGATGAAGGTGCTTTTTAGACTCCATCAGCGTTAAAATTCCCTATGCGTTGGCACTCGTCGTTTTGAGTGAGTTCTAGTTGGGGAAGAAGGTAGCCAGTTGATTTGGTTTGCTGATATTAATTGTAACTAATCTGGATTTACGACATGAACTTTGCAGTTCTATAATAAAACCATCTCACATATATCTAAGAAAATGTGGATTTAAACTGGAGCTGCAGGTTAATTTTACAAAATCAAATCAAATTAGTAACGGAAAAAACACAAAAGTAAATTACCAAAATCTAAAAAACAAGTACAAAAAAAATGCATAGAAATATTATCGGAATCCTAAAAAAGTAACAAAGATAAAATTCAAACAAGTTGAGCAAAAAGAGAGATTTATCCCCACACATGGTTGGTTTTGAAAGAGATGGGAACTAGAAACTCGAAGATCGCGATAATTTTTTTTCTTTTAAATGTATATCTCGATGAATTTTGGTTGAATCTATGTGTTATTGATCATGAGATTTTAACTACAATTGTAGGTAAATTTTGATCTAATGACCATTAATCATTCTGATGTGATATGTGTGATTGTAGTTATAGTCGTGGATAATTTTTGATCAAACAATATCCATTTGATGTGATTTATTTACAGTTGTGGATAATTTTTGATTAAACGACTCTTCAAGTACAAAATATATGACGGTTAATTTTCATGGATCGTCGTCGATGATGGTGTGGACACTACGAAACTTTCAATTACTAAACCACCGTCCTTAGATCTCTCTTACACCTTATCAATTTTGATTACAAAAAAAAATTCTTCAAGCAAAATCGTGTTTTGAAAATTTTACTGTTTGTTTATATATATATATATATATATATATATTAATATGAAATGATTAGACCATAAAGCCAGTTTGAAGTACAAACTTTGTCACTAGTGTGATAATTCCAACATATATTTTAATCTCCATATTGAATTTTGAAAATCCAACCAAGTCTACTTCTGGTGGTTTATGATTTTCCAAAAGTCGTATGTTTTACGTCGCATTGTTTGTTTACAATTGCATTATGTAACGTATGTAAACAATGTTCCTTCAGATTGGTTTACTTGATCCAATTTTTTTCTAATATAAATTGTTAGAATAAATAAAAAAGTACTCTCTCTGTTTCATTTCATTTATTTGTTTCATTTTATTAGATGTTTGGTTAGTTTTTTAATATTTTGTAGTCATTTATGTTATGCAGTAATTTTAATTATTGGTTAAATTATTTTAAACTTAAATATTAAATAATACTTTATAAAAAAAATTAAAAATGCACAACCAAAATATTTGACAAAAAAGAATGGAGGGAGTATGTTTTACGCCTTGTTTCTCCTTGCCAACATAGGTAAGGGGAATTTGTATGTCCTAAATGGACTCTTCTAGTGTTATCTATTTCGAAATAAAGTGGGCTCAAATAGTACGACGTTGGCCCATTAAGGCCCAAATAAGTAAAACTGTCGTCGTGTGTCCAGCAGCCGCTGTGTCATCGTGGAACTCCCATTTCTCTCTTTACTTCTTCGTCCCAAACTCTTCTCCTCGATCGTTCCCGTCGCCGATCTCGTTGCTTCATTTTCCGGTGAGATTCTATCTCTCTCTCCGTATTTCTCATATTCGAAACCTTTGATGTTGTCTTTGACATTTGATTGATTAGAGTTATCTATATTCCTCGGATCTGTATGTAGACTCATATTTTTTCTAGGGCTTGTTCGGTATTGTTTATTCGTATATGTGTTGTGAAATCTCATGTTCACTGATTCTGTTTTGATTCAATTTCTTTGTTTCTTCAGCGAGGTAATTGGTACAAAAGCGTTAATCAAATGGTTGGAGGAGGACTTATCCAGCAAATTCTTAGGAGGAAGCTTCACTCTCAATCAGTTGTGAGATTTTTTTTCAGTCTTAATTTCTTTTTTGATTAACGATTTTCAGCTTGGGATCTGTTTTAAGAGATTTATTTGTTATTTGTTTTGGTTCTGTGGGTAAAGCTTTGTGTTTTGGGAGATATGCATTAGCTAATGAGTGATAGAGAATCAGCTCTTGAATTGTTAGTGAAATTTTCCATTTTTTGGAATATAAGACAGGAGACAATGATTTGTTTGATTTGCCTTAGAATGCAGCAATCTTTTGCAGTCCATTTTGTTTTGATTGAGCATTGGTTTTGTGTTATCCTGCAGGCAACTCCTGTTTTGTCTTGGTTTTCTTCGAAGAAAGCTCATGAGGATGCTGGCTCTTCTGGTGTAAGAGCACTTGCCCTATTTGGTGCTGGTGTTACAGGACTGTTGAGTTTTTCTACAGTTGCATCTGCTGATGAAGCTGAACATGGATTGGAGTGTCCAGACTACCCTTGGCCTCATGATGGCATTCTTAGCTCATATGACCATGCTTCGTGAGTATTATAACCATTCTCTCTTCTTCTCGTCTGGTGGTAGCATTGTTCTAGTATTTCGTCATAGATGTTTTGCTTTGATGAGTAAAGTGATTATCCTCTTACCTTATATAGCTACCCTGTGAAACTTAAGGTTACAGATTTATACAGTATTAACTTATGAAGGTTTTGATGTGGAATGAGCAGGATCCGTCGTGGACATCAAGTTTATCAGCAAGTCTGTGCATCTTGCCATTCAATGTCTCTGATCTCTTACCGAGATTTGGTGGGTGTTGCCTACACAGAGGAAGAGGCAAAGGCAATGGCAGCTGAAATCGAGGTAGTAGATGGACCTAATGATGAGGGTGAGATGTTCACCCGCCCTGGTAAACTCAGTGACCGGTTTCCTCAACCATACTCGAATGAATCAGCTGCAAGGTTTGCTAATGGGGGAGCGTATCCTCCTGATCTAAGTCTTATAACTAAGGTCTGCTGCGCCTACTTCACACTTAAACTGAACATCTGTAGCAAACTTGTGTTCTATGTTCTAAATAGTTTTAATGTTCTGCCTTCCAGGCACGTCACAACGGTCCTAATTATGTCTTTGCTCTTCTGACTGGTTACCGTGATCCTCCTGCTGGCATTTCAGTAAGTTTCTCTCTCATTTTCCACATTGGACTTCGTCGAATTCAAAGTGCTGGTTATGAAATATCTGATGATTATTGTACAGATTAGAGAGGGGTTACACTACAATCCTTATTTCCCTGGGGGAGCAATTGCTATGCCGAAGATGCTCAATGATGAAGCTGTTGAGTATGAGGATGGTGTCCCCGCCACAGAGGCACAGGTTAGTTTTCCTTCACTTAAAATATAAGAAACACGAATATTTAGGCCTTATGGATCTGTCCTTTCTCCGTGTCATGATATTAACAGTACTTTTCCGATTACGGCGCAGATGGGTAAAGATATTGTATCATTCTTGGCTTGGGCAGCTGAACCAGAAATGGAAGAGAGGAAATTGGTAGGTTTATCTTTCTCTGTTCTCTGGTGAATATTGCATTTTCTCCCTAGACTTTGCGGTTAAAGTGACAAAGTTTCAGTCCAAGTTACTAGATTTTTAGTGTATGATCAAACTAGGCGACCTAGAGAACCAGTTGTTGTACCAAGTGTGCTGTGCTGTTCTTGGTCTGCTACTAAGACATTAACATTTAGATATGCTGTGAACGCGGCCTGACTCGTTTTGCAGAAACCCTTAAACTTAGCTTCTCCCGACTGATCCAACGAACCAGCTAAAATTGATAATTAGCTCGTGCGTTCACATTGGGTTAATGTCGGTTTCACTTTTTGCAGATGGGTTTCAAATGGATATTCCTACTATCTCTTGCTCTGCTCCAAGCAGCCTATTACAGGCGACTGAAATGGTCGGTTCTCAAGTCCCGCAAGCTGGTTCTTGACGTGGTTAATTAAAGTGCAGCTGAAAAGCTTTTGCATTGGCCTGGCCACACACAGTCGTATTTTCAACAATGGATGTTAAATAGAGAAGAGCCTTTCTCTGGGTAATAACGTATCATCATTTTTATGTGTCATAAAAATCTTTGATGAGACCAGTTCTCACCTTGACGGTGAAAAGACCTCATCGTTCTTCTTTTTCCTTCGATTATTACTAGAGAGTTTTATGAGGATAATCACGAAAACTTGTTTTTTTCGCCTCATAATAATCACACACATGATTTTGAGATTATATCATTTGTTATGTTTTTTCTCTTGTCTCAATAAAGAATAACTTTGTACTCTGATTTTGTGGTCTATTTTCGGCATTTCTTGCATCTGTCTAACAATAATAATTATTACAGTATAACAATAATAATTTATGCCAAATGCACCATTTAGTTTACTCTTTTTAATTTGTATGGTGTAATTAATATGGATATAATCGCATAAAAGTAGTAATAATAATCGACAAAATTACAACACATCATACTCAAAAAAACTTTTACAAAAGATTTCTCCAATTGACCTGGTAAATATAATTGCTTATTCTTCTCTGGAATAAATATCACCTAATGACCTCCAAATTTGTAACCTATGATCAAATGTAAACTATAATAAGAGTATTACTCTTACCATTACGATCTTGCTTTTGCCTTCCGATCAAGCTCTCACAGGCTTTTGCAGAACAGCTGAGAGATACACTTGTGCATCAGCCTTCTCTCCAATAACCCATTTTAGCTTCTTATACCCAAACCTCTCGATCAGACGTGTAAGGTCTTTCTTCTTCTCGTCGTTAGCGCAGAAGAAGTTATCCAACCAGAACAATCCACCGGGTTTTAAAACCCGATCAAGATCGAACATCAAGAACTCTAGCTTCTCCGCTTTACCCTCAACATCTAATCCGCTAGAAGCATGGATAAGATCAAACACATTGTCAAGGACAGGGAATCTATGGTCTAAACTCAAAAACAACGGAAAAAGCCCTCTCGCAGCTATAAACTCACTAAACGGAGCACCATTATTCAACGTGTTAGTGATTATAGTCACATTCTTCTCAGCCATTCTCGCTGCGAATGTCCCTGATCCACCACTAATATCAAACCCGATTCGGATTTTCCCACTTCCTAAACCCAACACATCATCAATCAAGAAATCATTCTTCCCCTTAACCTTCACAAACCTATCTTTCTCATTACCTAAATCGAAACAACCAACACATTCCCGGCTAAGTTTCTTACCTTTCAAGCAATCAAAACTCTTGCAACCAAGTCCACTCCAATTAACACTCTTGTTACTAACAGATCTCCACAACGAATCAGGCCACCGACTCAGATCTTGCTTCTGCACCGTTTTCGCCAAACACCGCCTCCGCGGCAACGGCTCACAAGCACGAAGAATCAACTTCTGGCCAAGACTCCAATCATCAGGACATCTATCAAACACTTTATACGACATATACTGAGAAAGCAAATCCGCAGATTTCTCACAAGAATGTCCAACAGACGACACCATTTCAGTGATCCCGGTACGCGAATCTTTCCCCAACGGAAGCTGATGACGCTGGAGAAACAATTTGAGCTCAGGAACAATATTTGGTCGAGAAAGATCAATAGATTCGTAACCAAGCATCTGTTTCTCCATCTGAGCAAGCTTACGTTGAGACGAATCGATCTCTCGGAGAATCAAAGAGAGATGTTGAGAAACGAGTGAGATATTGTTGGAATTGTGAAGAAGTGGCGAATTAGCTTGGGAATGAGAAGAGAATGCGTATAAGGCGAAGAGATTTGTGGTAACGACGGAGAAGAGCATGAGGAGGTTCACGGCGGAGGAACAAATTGAAGTTCGTCGGAATCTGGCTGTTCCATCACCGATCTTTAAAGATACAGATCCCATCTTCAATGCAGTGAGAGAGAGAAGAAGCAGAGCCCAAGCTAAAGTCTCACTATATAGCTTGAATCTTCTTCATTGGATCTGCACAAAGAAATTTCACATTCCAGCTTGATTTGACAAAAAAAAAAAACTAGAGTACTCCGATTTGATGAATCATTCAGATCTACGGGAAAGATTCAACGAGAGATATTTCGAAGAACACAAACAAAGATCAAGATTCATGAGGAGGTTAAGGAGATGATAGAGAGAGAGAGAGAGCATTACCGTGATTTCAGTAGAAGAGACTTGATGAAGAATACTGGAAGAGAGTGAAAGAAATCGCCGACATGACTAGAGTCAACACGTGAGTGACTATGTAATTCTCTTTTCATGGGCTTTTTATTATATTGGGCTTAGTTTTAATCCAGCCCATATGATCAAACCAACCTTTCTGCTTTCATGTCATTCCTCCTTAATCTAGGCTCAGACAAAAATAAAAATAAAGATAAATTTAAGTTACATTTTTAAAATATATAAGTTAAATAATTTATTTGTATAAAATTAGTCAAAATAAATATATTTAAAAGAAAAAAATATATCATTAAGGTGTTTTAAAAATAAAACAGGATATATTATTATTAAGTCATAATAAAGTTAATTGATAATTAAGTGGATACAGTAAACATGGTTAAGAAATATCATGAGAATAACACCAAGAAGAAATTAAAAAGGTTATTATTAGTAATTTACTAGGGGTACATTTAAATAAAAGAAAGAAAAGAAAGATTATTAAAAATTTAAAACCATCTTTAACCACCAAACAAAAAAAATCTACGTGTGTCCGACTTTCGAAGAGAGTTTTGAAAACATAGTAGGATGTAAATCAGAATGTTTAGAGTCTGTTTACAAAAGTAACTCAACTTTTTTACCAAATGAAGAAAAAGCTGATATCCAAATGAAGAAGTTTTGAAATTCTAGCCATCTACAGTACTAGAGGGAAACTTCAATGAAGCATTTGATGTTTTTTTCACGTTACAACAACAAAGAAAGTATTATTGTCGTTTTGAGTAGTGTTTCTTGGGCGTCAAGAAATAGAATGTGAAGAGAAATAACGCAAAAGCATGATGTTGTGAGTCACATACGACTAACAAAAGGTTTAGTCGGTTAGAATATTGATCGAAAATTTTACCCAAGCCCAAACCGAACACTGTTAAAATCAGAAATTCTAGCAAAATTTACAAATCCAAATCGAACCGGATCATCAGAGGAGCAAACCGAATCGAATCCTCCAGGATTAAATTGACATTTTGATCTTGTTATATGACTAAAGCAATGTTGACGATCCTGATGAACATAGAAAATCAATCACACAACCTACAAAAATGTCCCTAGTTGCCACCTCATCATTTCCTTGGTGTGAAATTGTTTAACGTCTTCGTTTCACTTTGTCTCAGATTAGTAAAAGAAATTTTGAATTATTCCACATATACATGACTCCTCCTTTACTCAATCAGCAAAAGAGCTGTAGAGCAAAAGTGGAAAAGTTTTGAAAATGTTGAGACTCTGTATCTTCCATTTTACTAACTATAGCACATTTGTGCTACTAGAAGCTACTTTTTTCGTTTTGCATATCTATGTAAAAGTAATTTGCATCACATAGACACGGCTCCTGGTTACTGAATGGAGGAAAAAGTATGATGGTGACAGAAAACAGCAAAAGCTATAACCAAAAATGGATAAAGAAGTTCTTAAGCGCGTGACGTAGTTGGAAGAAGAAGAACAAGAAGAACTTAAGGAATAAGCAGAACAGAGAGAAACTCTCGGCTATAAAAACAGAGGGTGTCACAACACAAAATATCACTACAAGAAAAACAGAGCAAGAGAATTCAATAGCTTCGTTTGTCTCAAAACCCTTTATCGTTTCTCTAATCAAACACTCTGAAAAATGGATATCATCGAGGATGGTAATATCCATTCGATTGTTTACACAAACCTAAATTTTCCTCGACCACTATTTTATTTCTCGTTCCACATTAATTTCGTAAGGCACAATGTCGATGGCAGCGTCCACGTTCGCTATATAAAAGTAACAAGAGAATGTGAACGTGACGGTCTAATCGGCGGAGGGGTCCAAGCGACGGTTGAGATTTGCGAACTCTTAAAAACGATCGGCGTTCCATGTTACCGTCAATTGGTTAAAGGTTTCAAGGAAAAGTTAGTATTCTTTCGTTTTAATTACTGGTTAATTAACTCTTCTTCAAATAATCGTACGTAACAACAATATAACTAACACCTATCATTTTGTCCTCACGTATATATAGATTGAAGAGCACGTACGCGGTCGGACATGGACGTGTTAATCACGACTGCATCAGGATGGTGGTACATTTTGAAGTCCCAATAATGGGCGAGTTCCCGATGATAGGCGCCCTAGAACAAGGAGATTTTTTTGTGCCGGCAAAAATCCCGAAAGATATGCCACCGGGGAATGCTAACGCGATCAAATATCTATTGTCTCCGGCTGAACAGCCTACTAGTAGTGAAAAAACCGAATATTGCAGCATATGTATGGGACTCCTCGCGTATGGGGTTGGGGAGGATGAGTGCGTGCGCTTGCCGCTCTGCAACCATGGCTTCCACAAGCCCTGCATCAAGACGTGGTTAGAAGTAAATAGCTCTTGCGCCAATTGTCGTTCATTTTTTCCCATATAGTATACTTACATGTAGTAAATATATATATACGTACATATATGTAGTATACTTATATGTGTAGTAATTGTCTAGTATACTTACATGTAGTAAATATATATATACGTACATATATGCAATATAATTTCTCCTTTTAAAAGATTGGTGTCATTAATCCCTAATATGATTAGCAGACAAATAAAAAATAAAATAAAAATCTCTAATATGAAATGACGACACTACCCCTGCTAAATGTATCTAACTAAGGTTAATTTGGGAAAAGAAAACCCTCCGTACGTAATCTTCTTCCTCGATCAATTTTTTTCCCGATTCGAGCAAAATGTGTGCAGACAATCCGCTTCGGTATCCGTGGAAGCATCAAATTTGTTCATCGATTATCTCCTTCAGTTGCTTAATCACATCTGCGAGGTTTTGTTTATTTGTCTCGAAAGAAGCATGTACATGATTTTACAGATTTCGGATTCTTAGATCAAGATTCGTGTCGATTTTGATGCCTTTTAGGAATTTTTGAGTCCCTCAAACGGAAATTCTTTTTTCCTTTTTCTTTTCAATTGCTTTTTCTGATTCTTCTACATGGTTTGATTTGAGAGTTTGGGTAAATGAATGGGTACGGTTTTTGTGTTCTCATCATCTTTAACCTAGTTCGTACTGGGCAGCTGATTTGGGGAAAATCAATACACTTCCAGATTGAATTATTTTTATTTGTTTTTTCATCCAAAGTGGAACCATTCATTCTTGTTACAAAATCCTGTAGATGGATGGAGTAATTGAGATGGTCGCTGATGCGATATGCTCGTGTATTGGTAGCTGCGTGGACATCTGCGTGATCACAAAGGTTTGTTTCACCCTGCTTTGATTGATTATCTACAAAACTCATAGAGATTATCTGTATAAGAGACTTAGTGATACTGTGTTAAGTTGCCCAGACTTAGTGATTATCTACGGCGTAGAATTGGATTAGTCAAGAAGTCGAGGCCTAAGACTGACCCCTTTCAGCATTGCAGGGATAGCGCTACTTAATGTGATTGTTTATATTTGTATCCTGTAAAAAAATCATTGGGTCTTTGTTCGCAAGCATTTTCCTTTTCACATGGTGGTGCATATGATCAGCTCTCCGCCTCTCCGTATAGTTTAGAGTACATCATTCAAACGTGTAAAGATGTGTGTGTTCTTGTGCTCTCATTGTGGAAGCTATATAAGACTGATTTCAATACTATGGGCGGATACCCGAGTAGTTGAGGCTAGAGGCCAATTGTTGCTGACAAAAATCGTGAGAAGATTCACTATATGGCACCAAACATATATTGCTGTGGTGCAGGAACCACTGCTGACACTGAAGCCGTAACTGGTATTTTCTCTCTAACTTCAGTGTGGCAGATGTTGTTTTCTTGGTTAAGGACATATCATGATCTAATTGACTTAATGTGTCGCTCTACAGAACTTGACGCATTAGTTGTCTTTGTTTTGGTCTCACTGTCCAGATATGGTCAAAGCATTAAAGGATGCAAAAGATTGGCAAAATGCCCAGCTTGCACTCCCTCCAACACCCCAGATTGGTGTGTTGTTTCAGGTGCATTACGAGCTGGTGTGAAGCACTTCCTGCTAAACTCAGATTGCCTACAACTTGTTCAAGCAATAAACTCCACAGCTTTACTCGCAGAAGTTCATAGAGTCTTATCTGATGTATTCCTTAGCATTTTGAATTTTTCTACCTCGTCGTTTCTTTCCCAGATCAGCTAATATAGTGGCTGATAATCTGGCAAAACTGGCTTTAAACTTGTATGCCCAAACAATTTGAGGATTAATATAATCTTTGGTGCACCAACAAAAGCATCGAATTTGGACTACTAGTAACATCCCGAGAGTTCAATCCTTGTTCTCTTACTTCAATTTTATTTGTTTGTTTTTTGTGTTATTGGGAAACATAGGTTCTTCTGATCAAATTCACCCCATTGATGGAGCGATATGGAGGAATGAATGAAAATCTCAATTCTGTGCTTTTGCATTAATATACATCCAAGGCATTGTGCCATTGTCATTTACTTGGTATCAACATATTTTTTTGTAAGAGCAAACATTTAGGGCAAGGCTCATTAATAGTGTTTTAGTTATTTTATTTGTTAAATCAACTGAAATTTATTAATTTGACTCAAATTTAGAGAAAATAACTAAATTAACACCCAAACAATGTGGTTTACTAGAATAACACAATTTTTTTTGTTAAAAGACCAAATACCCATTTTATTAAAATAAAATAATTAATATATAATAATTAAATTAAATAGAAAATTAGAAGAAAAAAAAATACAAAACGAAAAAATACAAAACGAAAAAAAAAAAACAAAAACGAAAAAAAATATAAAAAGAAAAAGTTGATATGTACAAAACGAAAAAATAATACAAAACGAAAAAAAAATACAAAACGAAAAAAATAATATTAACCTAATCTGTAGAAAAAAATATATATATAATCAATTATGGAAGCAACCGTTAAACCGAAATCACTATCCAAATTATATAATATAAGTTTTGGTCAATTTATTCAAAACGTATTTGATTTTTCTTCATCTATCGTCCACAACAAACACACAAAGGAATAGGTGGACGAGGGACCGAATCCATCCAAACTGAAGGGGAAAATTGCGGTGAGATTAACAAGTACTTATAAAAACAGTCCATACGAAATTCCATATAGCTTTTACACTTTTCCAAACTACTTATGGTGCAACTATCACTATAGTTTTCCGATTCTTTGTGGAGCATAGAGTTTTGATCCCGCATGTTAATTGATACCAAACAACTCTTCTCCACGCTCCATAGATAGACAACATTTCTATCAAATGGATGCATTACGATTGGAATAGAACCAATACCATAATCAACATGAGCTAGATCAATTTCCGAAGACAATTGCCAATATTCCCTTGATTCAATTTCGTAGTAGTTCTTGTTCAGTCTCCAAACCTTCATCTTGCTTTCAGAAACCATGTTAATGTACATAATGAATCCTTCTGAGGTAGTGCAAGCTCTCCTACACCATATCTTATAGCTTTTTTTTCCATCAACAACAAAAAGGTTTTCGTTTGGAAATGGTATAAACCAACAATGATTTTCTCTAAGAGGACTCGCATTGTATAAATCAATTGCTATAATGCCTCCAGCATCAATTGTTCCATGCCCGAACCAATGAAGCACTCCGTTTACACTAATGGGTTCAGGATAAGGCAAACTATCCCAAGGAATAGGGCAAGGGCAACAAACGTTCTCGCAAGTCCATTCTCCGGTCTCAGAAGAGTATATTTGTAAAGTAAGATTTGTTGCGTTTTCGAAACGTGTATTGACTAGAACCACCTTATACCCTAAAACGACACCGTTCTCATCAACACGTGTGGCTAGGCCAAACTTTTGGGTTTGAAAATAACTTTTGAGAGAAAGGGTGCAAGGACGGATTTTAACCCATTCACGTAACACTGGATTTCCAACATAAATCATGTAATCTTGTGTTAAAATCAAAAGCAATCCATTAGAGATAGCTTTAATAATAAAGGATACGATTTCTATTCCCGCATCCGCGAAAGGTGACGAGATGTAAGAGCCCAATGATCGCGGAAGACCCCATTTCTCGCATCCGTAGAAACCTATAAGTTCATGTGTTGTATTGACACGGATGTGATGCTTATGAAAAACCGACCAAGAACATGATTTTTTTTGGTGCAGGGACAAAAAGTGATTACGGAAAATTGTAGATTCTACCAATGATTTCCATCTTTTGCACACCAACTTGACTATGGTATTGCTCTTTAGGGGAATTTTCACCAATATTTCTGCTAACATCATGTCTGGAAGATCATCGATGATATTTTTGTTAGCTTCCATTGGACTTGCTTTTTAGTTTAGAGTTTGTTTAAGAGAAAGATGACTTGAATTTTTCTTTGTATTTTATTTTTCAATAATACAAACATATATATATATATATATATATATATATATATATATATATATATATTTATAAATTCACACATGAAAATATTTACCAATATCCTCTTTTGTTGTACCATTTTGCTGGCACAAGATTTCCTTCCATATTAGTTTAAAGTTTTAAGAATTATGATATATGCCAAATGGCATGATATCTTACATGTGAAGATATCTTCTAATAATCACATATACTGTACATAAAATGAATTGAAAGTGAAGGAGAAAATGAAGATAAATTATAAACATCATAAAAAATATGAATAATATTTATATTAATTAGCAAAGATAGATTTGTCTCTATCTTTTTTTGATACATAAGAACATTATTCATTGGGAATCCAAATGAATTTAAGTTATAATATAACAATTAAAATTTTAATTCAAAATAACTTTTCTTAAATTTTGATTGATTCTTTTTCATTAACAAGATATAAAAAATGTCAAACTTATGAGTGTTGTCTAAAAACAAATGTGGGATAATATACACACATCAAATTATTATCTTTTCAATTAACTAAATATATATAATTATTTACATACAATACTATGCCATTTATACATATATGATTTATCTATGTAACAAATATGTATCGTATTACTATAAAACTCGTTGCCAACACTGGTATTTATTTATGACTAAATATTTTCCTCGGAAACCTGTGAAAAGGTATGTAATATATATATACACAAACTTGGGTTGTAAATAAGATGAAATCAAAACAAGTCAATCCTTGCTACCAAACTTTCGAACTTCTGAAACACTAATCAACCAAGTATAAGCAAGTCTCATGGAATTAGGCAAGGACAAGAATAATGATTTTCCATTGAAGGAAATATTATTAAGATTGCCGATAAGAAGCATCGCCAAATTCAAGTCGGTGTGCAAACGATGGAAATTGTTGGTAGAATCTGCAATTTTTCGCAGTTTATTCATGTCTCTACATAAAAAATCATCATGCTCATGGTCGCTCCTAACCGATGGCGATGAGTATCCATTTCAAGAACATATAGCCTTGAACAACTGCAAGAGATGGGGACTTCCACGATCTATGAGCTCTTATATCTTGTCTCCTCCCATACTCGACACGGAATTTGATCTCAAATCATTTCAGATTAGAGCTTCCGCTAGTGGATTACTTTTGATCAGAATTCTAGACAACATATATTACGTTGGGAATCCACTGTTACGTAAATGGGTTAAAATACGTCCTTGTACTCTCTCTTTAGAAACTTATTATTATTCTAATATTTGTGGTCTTGCCACACGTGTAGAAAACGATGTTGTTTTGGGCTACAAGGTAATTCTACTCTGTACAGAAAAGTTTCAAGAAGCATCAAATCTTAGTTTTCAAGTATATTCATCCGAGACAGGGAAATGGACTCGCGAGAACATTCATTATCCATATGTTTATCCCATATCTTGGACAGATTGTTGTGGTCCTTATCCCATTAGTTTGTACGGAATGGTTCATTGGGTCATAGATAGTAATCGTACTGGATACATGGTAGTTCTTGACTTTTACAATGAAAGAGCTAATCGTTGTCATGCTATATCATTTCCAACAAAAGCAATTACGTCGTTCGAGAAACGTTACCCAGAAAAATGGTCTAGGAGTGCATGTACTACTTCGGGAGGATTTATCATGTACATTGAAGCGACTACTATATACGAAGATCATAGGCTAAAGGTTTGGAAGCTTAATGATTTGTTGAGATGGGACTTGTCATGGGAAATCAATTTAACACATATCGAGTTTGGTATTACTTCTAGTCCACTAGCGATGCATCCCTTTGATACCGATATTCTCTATTTGATGAGCCTTGAGAAAAAGTGTATGATGTCGATTAATTTGCGGACGCAAAAGTCTATGCTCCACAAAGATTCAGAAGATTATAGTCATGACGATTGCAATAGAATTTTCTTTAAATGTCCCACTGTAATGGTTTGTACTGATATATGTTTGTATTGGCAGTTTGTGCCCTCCCTTTGGATGGATGATGTCCCTGTTCCGCCTCCATGTGCTCATTGTGGACGACCCTAATTAGAATATTTTATTGAAAGTAATGTTGTGTTCTATTTTTCTTTTTTGAATTTTATTAGTTTTTTTTTTATTTTATTTTGTCATTTCTTTTTAATTTGTTTTTTTTTGTAATAATGGGACAATTTTTATTGGTAAATCAATTTGCATCTAGGGGCCGATTGGTAACGACTGTTACTTTCGACTGTAGAGACTTTCGCTGTAAGGACTTTGGCTGTTAAAACTTTGACTGCAGAGACTTTAACTTTAGAGACTTTAACTGTTAAAATGTGATTGGTAACAACAAAACTGTAGAAACTGTGGCTGTAAAAATTATGATTTTAAACAAAATAAATTACAGTGAATATAAACCCAAATTGTGATATAACAACCAAATTCATACAAAGAACTTTATGAAATGTTTTTATACATTCATATTTCTCTATTTTTGTATCAAATGTAATATCTAATATTTTTTTTATATACATAAATGGATCTTAAAAGAACAGAAAAAAAAAATCAATTGTAAATTAGTTAATACTTTTTTAAAATTAATTTTCCAATGAATTTTATTAGAGGTTTTCATATAATGGGAAAAAGAAAATAAAGAAAACAATTAACTTTTATTCATTTTACTTTTAAAGCCAGGTTTACGTGACTTTAGAAAAAAACTGAATTCAAAGAGTAAAAAACAAAAGAAGGACTTTGAAGGCTTTAAATAATTTTAAAGCCAAAAAAGTTTGATTGGCAAAATAAAAACTTTAAAAGCTTTAAAACTTTTCTAAAGCCTTAAAAGTGCTTACCAATCACCCCCCTAGTTTCACTTTTGTTATTTGACATGTTAGCAATAATCCTAATTTGATTCTTGTACACAGAGCAGAATACAATCATATACATCTTCTCATGTTTTGTGTTCTTTCATGGGCTTTTTCTTACATTGGGCTTATTTTATTAGTCCAGCCAATATGTTCAAACAAACCTTCTGGCTCGTTAAGAAGGTTCAAACTTCAAACAAAGGGAAATTACCAAAAAGAATAAAAATACAAAATTGGAAACCACCGGCGTGATTTCTAGTCGGGAAAACCACCGGCGCACATCGTTTTCCGGCAATCAGAGATTCTTTCACCGACGTGTTTTTTTTGTTGCTTCAGATCTATACATATCTCTATATGGATGAGATGTCTCTTTCACGGGCTCTGCATAAACACAAATGGCGAATAAACCTGATCATCATCATCACCAATCTTCAAGGAGATTGATGCTTGTATTGTACTTCACCAGTGTTCTTGGGATTGGATCCGTCGCAGCTTTTCTTTGTCTCTCTTCTTCAATTCTCTCATTCTCCACCCTTTCTTCAATCTCGGTTCCCGTTAACCGGCCGGAGATTCAGATTCCGAACATCGATTCCAAAATTGTTCAAAAGGTAATCTTTTCATATTTGCAGAGAAGGGAATTGATGAATTGTGTTTTTAGGGTTTATCTGTTATTTAGGGTTTATTCATGGAGCAATCTTGTGGAAAAAAAACGATGGATTTCACCATTCCTCACTTGCAGAGAAGCAAACAATCGAATGATACAAAAGATCATCTCCGATTTTTATCGGCAACATTTGCCGATATACCGGCGCCGGAATTACAATGGGAGCAAATGCAATCAGCTCCAGTTCCTCGCCTTGATGGATACTCAGTTCAAATCAAAAACCTTTTGTATGTTTTCTCCGGTTACGGCAGTCTTGACTATGTAAGAGCTTGCTTCTTAATATTATATGAATTCCTTGAGAGTGTGTTTTATAATAGATTTGAATGATCACTTGATTATTTTGCCTCAGGTTCATTCTCATGTGGATGTGTTCAATTTCACAGACAATAAGTGGTGTGACAGATTCGACACTCCTAAAGAGATGGCGAATTCGCACCTTGGGATTGTGACGGATGGACGGTTTGTGTATGTGGTTTCAGGGCAACTTGGTCCACAATGTAGAGGACCTACTTCTCGTTCCTTTGTTTTAGACTCATTCACAAAGACTTGGCTCGAGTTTCCTTCACTACCAGCTCCAAGGTAAAGACTTTAAGTCAGGTGATGAGTCATGTTAAAGTATAGTGAACTGCGATTACCGAGCTCTGTTTTGTTGGACTCAGGTATGCTCCTGCGACTCAGATATGGAGAGGGAGGCTTCATGTGATGGGTGGAAGCAAAGAGAATCGAAATGCAGTTGCTTTTGACCATTGGAGCATAGCTGTAAAAGATGGCAAAGCACTTGACGAATGGCGGGAAGAGGTTCCAATCCCTCGAGGTGGACCACACAGGTTTTATGTTTTTTTTAGTCACTGCCTGTTTTGCGTTTTGGTTTGAGTCCCTTAGGTTGCTAACATTGCGGTTTACGGTGTGTAGGGCTTGTGTAGTTGCTAATGATAAACTACTTGTGATCGGTGGCCAAGAAGGTGACTTCATGGCCAAACCTAACTCACCCATCTTCAAGTGCTCACGTAGACGCGAGGTTTACATTCCTCTTCAATCCTTAGTTTCTGATTTCCAATGATTCATTTTCGACGTATACTGATAGGAATGACTGTTGAGCATATGAACCAAACCAAAATTTCCGGCTTTAGTCATAATTGAAAAAACCAAAAAAACTCGCCTCTATTTTCTAATGTTGGTCGCATTTCAGATCTTTAATAGTGAGGTGTATATGATGGACGAGGAGATGAAGTGGAAAATGTTGCCACCAATGCCAAAGAACAATTCCCACATTGAATCTGCATGGATCATTGTCAATAACTCAATTGTTATCGTTGGTGGTACCACGGATTGGCATCCTGTGACGAAAAGGCTTGTTCTTGTTGGAGAGATTTTCCGGTTTCAGTTAGATACTTTGGTCAGTGGTACTAACATCGTCATCTCAATCATAGCTCTGTTCTTTTGTTTCTTAAACTGAATATGAAATATTTTGCAGACTTGGTCGGTGGTTGGACGGTTACCATACCGTGTCAAAACAGCGATGGCCGGATTCTGGAACGGTTATTTGTACTTCACATCGGGGCAGCGGGATAGAGGACCGGATAATCCACAGCCCGGGAAAGTTATTGGAGAAATGTGGAGAACCAAGTTGAAGTTTTGAACATTAAAATATGTTTGCTTTTTTATAGAAGAATTATTTTTTTAGGACATAAAAGACAAACTTTTATTAGTCTACGAGTACAAACATTAGATATAGAAACAGTGAAACACCTCTTTTATGTGCATCATCATCGACTTACAACTCCATGGCAAATTAAGAAAAAGACAGAATTATATAAATGAAGATTGGTAGATTAAAGGACTTGATGAGCATTCCCCTAGTATCGGTTAATGATGGGCAACTTCTTGAGTCCTGAGATGTCTGGTGGAGGCTGAGGGTAGAATTTGTAAAACTTGATGCTTTGAAAGACTTGCCTATCATCTTGGCTCATTTCTTCTATTACTTTCATTCGAGCAGCGATTGCATCTTGCCTCGCTTTCTTTGCGGCCCGAACATTCTCTTTGACGAATTCTTTGAATTCAACACCCCTTTTGTTCCGCGGATAATTCATCGTTTTCAATCAGGTTATCAACAAACACCTCAAGTCTATCAAATCCTCCAGTCGAATTCACATACAACTGGCGGTTCAGATGGGAACAATATTTGGACCTCACTACTCTGTTCAAGTTCATCTTCTTTTAATGGGTCATAGAAAAAAGGAAGGCAATAGTCGAACTTCCTAACCCGCTCGTCTTTGAGATGTCTTAGAGCAGCTTTGAAATTTCATCCTATCATATTGTCTTGATCTATCTTCAAAGGGTATGTAAGGAACCCAGTCCATTTTCATCTCCTTCATTGGAATGATTTCTTCCGCTGCTCTCTGAATCGATGTGATCCCTATCTTATCGGAAGGCGGAAAGGGTGATTCGATAGCAACAACAGTCGGGACAGGGATAACTTTCTTTACATCTTTGTAGAGGACAAGCTGAGGTTCTGCATTCACAAAGACATAAACATTCTTCCCATAGAGTATTCCTCCTTCCTCCAATGCTTCTTCAAGATCTTTGAAATCCCAATTGTGTTCATAAAGTGCATCTAACAGTTTCCACTTAATTCCCACAGGAAAAACAGCTTTCCACAAATCTTGCAGATCACGTTTCTCATCCAAGTACTCAGGCTCTCCCTGTGGTTTGGTCGCTCGGGCTTTCGTAGCTCTCGGGGCCGGTTTCTTCTCATCTTTGTTATCAATTTCCTTCTTCGTTGTCCTCTTTCGTTTACCTCCACGTTTCTTCGTATTCTCATTCACTTCCTCGGCCTTGTCGTTTAATTAGCCAAACAAGATTAATTACCTCGATGATTATAACAAATTTTTTTGTGAACCATTATAAGTGGGAATCACACATCATACATGACACAACTTCCACTTTTACTATTTATCTTTCTTTTTGTTTGAGTCCTTTCTTTGGATCCTTTGTGCATTGTCTTGACTATTGAACCGAAAAGCACATAACATAACCCATGCCATCATTGTTTTCTCTAAAGATCCCATTTGTTATTGTTATTAGATTTTCATTTTTCTAAACTTTTGTTTCATTTATTTTGTTCAAATCGAGTTTCGGAGCACATATATACTATCTTACTATCTATTTAACATTGCATATTGGTTTCATGATTAACTATATAATAAATAACTATATTTTAACCCGCGGTATACCGCGGGATGATTTAATTTTAAAATTAGTATAAAAATATTTTGTAAATTGTATCTCTTTATAACATATTTATTTATATTATAGTTTATAATTGTTATTAAGTAACGGTATACCACGAGTCCACGAGACAATTATTAATAAACGGAGGATTTAACCCGTATTAAAGCGGTATATAAATATTGATTCAAATTCGTCCGCCATATAAATCCTTTCCGAAATATAACCTTTTCCGTAATTTTTTAACCCATCCCGTGATTTGTTTTTATTTTAAAATTTAATGATTATTTATTATATATAAAAGTTTACAAATCATATCATCCTCTAAGACCACGGGACATTATACCACGGGACAATTTTTGGTTTTATACAATCTTTTCTAAATGAGACTGATTTAATATGTCTAATATTTGTGGTATTAAAAAAGAAGATTTAATCCGTATTGAAGCGGCGGATTAATGATATTTTAATTTTTTTATTATTGTTGATTCAAAAACCCGTCCCGCCAAACCCGTCCGGCAAAAAAACTCATTTATTTTATTAATGTTCTTATTTATGATACGATTCTGAATCATTGTCTAAATAATTTAATCGATGTAGAACGTTGAACACACATTTTCGTCAATTAGATAATATATGTCCGTTTTTTAAATTTCGAATCACAGTATATGCAGAAAAAAAAATTGATTTTTTTTTTACTTTATGTATTATATGATGATTCAAAACAGTTAAAAACAAATCAAACAAAGATGATAGGAGAATCATAATTATAAATTTTAATCAAATCTTCTAAATATCTAAATTATTAAATATGGGTTTAATTTAACCCGATCCAAGTTTATTTTTGTGAAGGATTTTTTAAAACGGGTCGGATATCCGATATACCCGTAAGATTTTTTACCCACCCGTCACAAAAAGTGCTGCAATTATACTAGTATAGATTACGTTATTTTCGTTTTATCGAAAACTATCTCAAGTATTGCAGATAAACTTTGATCTAAACCTTAAAGGGTTGCCGCATTATTACGACATGTACTATTCCCATTCTCAACGTTTCGACCCAAACTTTTCGACCCTTCATAAATCGACATAAACTTTATTTATTCTGCATAAAACGACCTTAATTTTTTTTTTATTCAAATATCTGCACCTCTAATTGAAATAGATAATCCTGGTTCTAAACCTGATTAAACCGCTAAATCGCGATTACTATTTCGCGTTTGACCTGATCCGAATTTGTTGTGTTTGACCCAATAAACCCAGTTAATAAACGACGACGTCCTGTGTTTTAATAAGAGGAGACTGAAAACAAACCCAATTCAAAAATCGATTTGGGGATATTGTTGAGTAGCGAGGCTGATTTCTTCTGCAACAGCGGCGGAGAGAGGAGCACGGATCTTCTCAAGCTCTTCAATAAGGACGAAGACGGCTGGTTTAGAGCGGAGGACTTCTTCTTGCTCCTTGTTTAGGGTTTTGCCCTGAGAAATCGATTCTTCCATATGAGTGATTCAGTTGTATTTCTTCAAATGCTGACTCAAGCGCTGACTTCTACGGTCATGACCTATTGCTGATTCTTCAAATGTTGATTATGTAGTAGAGAGCCATTGTGCTCAATTTGGAGGTTGGCTTTTGTTTATTTCTTCTTCAGCCATTCATTGTTTCTGGGTTTTTTTTTTTTTTTTCAGAGTGATTAGTTTTGTTCTTTTTGTTTGTTTTGGGCTAATGCAGCATATCAAGGCCATTATCACTTCCGAAGAGGTTAGTTTACTCTATGATTCCTTTGCCTACACACTTAGATTTATAGGTTTTTGCAGTAGAAAGTTTCGATTTTTAGTTGTTTTTTTTTTGGGGGTTGAATTTTTCTGAATATCCAGATATTCATGTTAAAGTTAAATTCTTTCTTGTAGCTAGTTTTTCATAATGCTGACACTGTGTAAGGAACTTGAGCAATCACTGAACTTGACAAAGTTTGGCTAATTTTTCATGTTTTGTTCTTAGTATGCTATAGTGTGTTACTTGGTGAACATAGCAGGGGAAACAAAGAAGAAGCTTGGAACTTTGGCTTCTGGTATCTTCAGTGATATTCAAGACAGAATGATGTAAGAAGAAGACCACGAGGTCATGGCTTGCATTGTGTGTGGCTTTAGTTGTTTGGATTATGTAGTAGTAAGTGTGTGAGTGAGATAATGTAATGTCGTTGAATCCGTAACAATGTCAAATTCGTAATGTAATGTATGTGAGTGAGATAATGTAATGTTGTTGTTTGTGGCTTTCGTCGTTGAAGCAACATAAATCCGTAACAATGTCAAACTAGCAGCCAAAATTACAGTCATAAAACCAAATAAAAACCTGCAACACTCCTCCAATACCAACATAAATCTGCAACAGTCATAATACCAAATAAAAACCTGCAACACTCCAATACCAACATAAATTTGCAACAGTCATAAAACCAAATAAAAACCTGCAACACTCCTCCAATACCAACATAAATCCGCAACAGTCATAAAACCAAATAAAAACCTGCAACTACCAAACAAAAAGTTGCAACATTCCTAATACCAAAATAAATCTGTTCCACTCCTAAAACCAAGAAAAACCTCAAACTACTTCTCAATCTCTAGACATTGCTTCCTTGTGTGAGTGTTTCTGGTCCCTGTGAGAGTGTGATTGTCTCTCGTGCTTGAGATGTAGATGGACAAGCCTGAAACACACACATCAAACATTAATAACCGAAAACCAATAACCACAGTACAATCAAAAGTAAATGCAAACATACCTCATCATTTGCTTTAGTCTTCTTACTCTTCTTACTTGTCTCACTCTTCTTACCCTTCTTACTCTTCTCACTCTTCTTACTCTTCTCACTCTTCTTACCCTTCTTACTCTTCTCACTCTCCTTTTCCTTTTTAGTTTTCTTTTCTTTTGGAAATTTAGGACATCCAGCTGAGTTGTGTCCTGCTTCACCACACTTACGACAATGCATGATCCTTCCTTTTCTTCCCAGTTTAAGTATCCCTGTTTCCTGTCCATCTTTATTTCCTTTCTTCTTCTTCTTCGGTGACTCATTTTTTCCCTTAATCCGATCATACTTCTTCTTCTGCCCCTTCTTTCTCCCAGGCAGATTTGGATCTTCTGGTTTGGTAATCAAGACATAGTTGTTGGTCATCCAGAAACGTGGACCTCTAACCGGCTCAGGGCCTTTCTCATACACTTCTTTCCACACCTGAGTACTAAAGTATGGGGATGCATAATCATCAACATCCTTATTAACATCTAAGATGGCTGCATAAGCATGTTCACAAGGAATCCCGGTGATTTAGAACGATCTGATATGATGACATAATTATTCCCATCCTTTAGATCCAAATCAGCCTTGAGTAGTTTCAGAAACCATAACCAGTTGTCTGCATTTTCAGTTTGTACAGCTGCCCACGCAATTGGGTAAATCTGATTGTTTGAATCATGAGCAATAGCAGTAAGTAAGCAACCTTTGACAGCATGTTTCAGGAAAGTTCCATCAATCCCAATGATAGGCCGACAATAGTAGAAAGCTTTTTTCATTGCTCCAAGACACACATAAAAACGGTTAAAAACATCTTCACCATCAGCATTACGAAAGGTATCAACTATTGATGTGGATCCTGGATTTGAACCTTCTAGTTCAGCAACATAACCTCTAAGATGAGCAAAATGTTGAGCATATTCTTCTCGAAGCCACTTCAGAGCTAAAAGTCTTCCTCTTTGCACTTGTCCTATAGAACTCAGTAGCTTCCATTGCTCCTTAATATGCTGCTGAATATCAAGAGGCATGTAATTAGGATCCATCCTCAGTTTGTCCATGAAAAGCTTTCCAATCACAGGACTCTTCAACAACTTGCATTTCCCATTAGGAGTGCAACTATGATATCCACACTTAGTCCTCAAAACCCACAGTTGTTTACTCTTATCGAATGCGCAATATACTTTCCAGCCACAATTCTTATCCCGACCACACCTAAAACCAATTTTCTCCTTCCCATACCTTTCTTGTCTAATGTTTTCTCTTGACTTCAACGCATGATGTAACACAGCCTCTTTGATCTCAAACGCAGTGAAAAATGTTCTACCAATACCTAATTTATCATCAATTCCCATCCTAATTCTCCTATCTCTAATAATTATTGGATCTTCCTCTTCATCTGAACTCTCGGGGATGGAATTTCGATTAATCCTAAACTCATCAAACCAAGTTGCTACAGATTCTTCTATCTCGAACTCAAACCTTTCCACTATATCATCTTCCTCTTCAACATTAGTCTTCTTTTCCCGTTTTCTTTGTGTTTCTTCGTTGTCTTCTTCCACTTCAGACTCCTCTCTCTTCCTCTTTGCCTTTCTTCGACTCGCTTCTGGTTCAACATCTCTGTCTCGCCCATTGTTGTCCCCATCATCACCGGCATTATTTACATCATCCTCGCTCTTCTCTCCATCATCACCACTCTCGACGACGTCTTCCTCGTCATCTCCATCTTCTCCGCTCTTGTCTCCATCTCCCTGACTCTCTTCATCCGAGGCTACCTCTCTCCAATCGGGATCATCTGGATCACTCTCATAGATCAACTCTGTCATTGGCATCACTTCTCTTCGAAATCTCTCAGAACCCTAAACCCAAATCGATTTTTTCCCAAATGTGCAAACCCTAAATCTAATTCTTCAATCGACGACAGAGGTATTAGAAACAAACGCCGTCGTTTAGTCTTAAGACTTTCTCCAATAGCACACGACGTCGTTTCTAAAATGGGTTTATCGGGTCAAAGACAACAAACTCGGATCAGGTCAAACGCGAAACAGTAATCGCGATTTAATGGTTTAATCGGGTTTAGAATCGAGATTATCTATTTCAATTAGAGGTGTAGACTTTTGAACTAAAAATAAAGTTGAGGTTGTTTTATAAAGAATAAGTAAAGTTTATGTCGATTTATGAAGCATCGAAAAGTTTGGGTCGAAACGTTGAGAATGGGAATAGTACAGGTCGTAATAATGCGGCACCCCAACCTTAAACACAAAATACTACTAAGCAAAAAAAAAAACTATCACAATAATATTAGAAAGTTAATATTCTAGATAATATGGTTACAACATTTCAATGGCATATCCTTCTCGAGATATTTTCCCAATAAGTACAAACTTGTCACCAAATAATTAAAGAAAACAATTTTATCCAAAAAAAAACAATTAAAGAAAACACAAACCTTAGAAATTTGGTGTTTAGTGTGCGTGTGTAATAGAAAGTTGAGAATTCCATAATGATTACATTATACATATCGTTTATTGTATTACTCATTATCCCTTGATTTTGTTAGGGGTCACGGAAAGAGAAATCTGATGACAATATTATTGGATTCATAAGCATCACAAATGCTTTATCAATATAAAAATCTATAATTACAAGTTTGCTTAACGCTAGAGTCGGCAAAACAAAACAAAATTTGGCGTAAGTATCAATCAATCTATGATTCTATGTATTGTCAATCGTTGGTAATTATTATTTTATGTGCTAAATTTGAAATTTTAGAACAAAATTTGGCATCCAGTGACCACATACAAACTCCAATGATAACCCAATTTCATCGACAATCCAATGTAATTCACTACTTTGTCTGAAAATAATTAACCATAAAACCATATAAAGTAAAATAACTAAATCATATGGAGCCGCTTTTATAGCTATCCAATAGATATTCTAAAGAGGCATATGCCTTTTGGAGATTATAAAGTATTAACGTTTTGAAATCTTTATTGATCTCTGAAACATAATAAAAAGTTTAAACTGTGAATAGTCAAAGAGTAGTTTATTTTCGGTCACCTAATCATGCCAATCTTTATTACGTGTGATTAATGTAAGAGATAGAAAAAGTTGAAAACTACTTATATATTTAATAGGAAATTAAAGATCATGTCACTATATGCTTCTGGATCAAACATTATTTTAATATATACTCATTCCGTTTCATAATATATAAATCGTTTTAACTAAAAACACGTAAATTAAGAAGATTTACTTTTAAAAAGTTCAGTCAATCATAAAAGAAATTGCATAATATAAATAATTATAAAGTATTAAAGTAATGTATAATTTGCATAGAACTTGAAAACGATTTATATTGTGAAACAAATTTTTTTCTCCAAAACGAAAGGAGTACTTAACACAATAACTAAATGATAAATTTTTAAGCAAGCAAAGATATTTCATAAGTAAAAATTACACATGCAAACAAAAATCTATTGCTCGGTGGTGTTATCTCTTATCTCAGGGAACGTATTAATTATGATTTGGGATGATTTTAGTTACTTTCAAATCTCCCAACTAAAACATTGAGATTTTGTGGCAAGAAAATTTTCTAAAAAATTCAAGATTGATTTCGACATCCTTTCATTTCATATACATCACTTTCTTGAATTAGTGAGAACTATAGTTGTTACGATTACGACCTCGATATAACGGTCAATAATTTTAGTATTTTACCAAAACTAAAAAAAAACATGACGGTCAAAGTTACTATACGAATCACAATAAAGAAAATACGTATCATTGAATACTAATATTGACATATATGATTCCAAATTTGAAATTTATCTAAATTAGTGAAAATTTGGTTAGTAAATTATTTGGTATCCCAACTATTTGAAATTGAATATGGGATTTCGAATTAACCATACCATATCGTTATCCGGTATTACCTGTTCCGATCACCTGGCTGACATGCCGACTAAAATCCAATTAAAACCGGTGATTTGGTTGGTTTAACCGGATTTGAATGTTCGGTTATCTTTAATACATTAAAAAACTAAAGGATATTTACATAAAGAGTGCCACGTAACACCAAAAAAAAGTCACCCACGGGGTCCCACCATGATATGTCGCACGATAACTACGTGGAGAGAGAGATCACCAAAACGACACCGTCTCACTCACTCTTCCAACACGAAAACTGAGTGGGCACCGTGTACGTGTGGGACCCACTTCTCCTTCTCCGACGAAACATAAAAACAAAAAACAAAAAGAGAAGCAAGAGATTAGTCTCTCTCTGTACCTCTCTCGATCTCGTTGATCATAATTTCTCAATCAAAACTCTCTCTCTATCTCTAAAAGGTTTTGCTCTTTTTAACTTTGTTTTTATTATTTATATAATCTTTGCCTATGAATGGGTTCGTCTTCGTCGTCGCTTAATAATTCTCCGATTAGAGTTGATAGTATGGTAACTCCAGAATCTCCGATGACTGTGAACGATAACAAAAGCGACAACGTTTCGATCATGTCTCCTTCCAAGAAAAATTTCGGTAATTTTTTCCAAAACTTCTTTATATAATCGAGATAGATCATCATCATCTGTGTTTGATCTTTCACTTATTTTTCTTTTGGGTATCGAAAATTATTAGTTCATAATGATAATGAATCTGACTGGGAATTGTGGGTTTTATATAATAATTGTTTATGTATGTTTTGATTGAATTCTCAGAATCGCCAAGGAAGAGTACTTCGATTCCGGCGGTTTCTCCGACGACGGCGAATAATAATCTCACTCCGGTCAAATCTCGGTGGTCTTTTTCTTCATCCAAGAAAAGTTTCGGTATTTATTCCAAAAAAAATATCTCTTTTTGAATTTTATTCTTGATTTGGGTTCTTTCACTGTTTCAACTTTTTTGGATTGGTTTTTTCTGATATTTTAATTTAAGTTATTGGTTTGATGATTTGATCTAATTTACACACTTTTCTTGTTGCATAAATATTTGTTGTTTTGGTGTTTATGAATATTAGCATGTGGAGATTCGGTGACCGGCAAAAATGTTATTCCATAAATGGTTCTTCTAAATCAATTTGATTTGATTTCTCATCCTGTCAACATAGAGAGAGACTTTTAGTTATAGGTTCTTTTTTCTTATCTGATAAGAATCATAAGATCATATCGAATTTGATTTCTTCAATTAATAGATTTTATGCAGTTGACAAAAAAGATTTTATGCTAAAACAAAAACTATCCCGTGATCATAGAGATTTTTCTCACAACATGAAAAAAGTAATTTTAAAAACTGAGAGAGTGAGCTTATTTGGTGAATTATGATTTAAAAAGTAGACATTAACTGTGACCCAGATCTGACAAAATATGAAAAAGTGTTGCTAATCAGTCTTCTTGATCTGGGTTCCATTGTTTTTCACGCTTTAATTTGAAGGGTTTAGGCAAAAATTCAAAATTTTTACCCGGGAACTTTGGAGAATTGATTTTAAATTTCAAGTTAATCTTTTTTTAGGCATTGCTTTGCCATTTCCTTGGATTCTATCTTCTCTGTTTTTTGAGGTCTAGTCAGTTTTGGTTTATACTATCTTACGATGGTGATTGAATCAAAAGGTTTGATTGTGTTTGTGTGTGTGTGTTTATCTATCAGTCTTGCTCAAATGTTTTGAAAGGCATGTTTTAATTTGTTTCCACTGTCACAGGAAGCAAAGATGAAACCTTTTTCGATTCGCAGCCATGGCTACAATCTGATTCCGACGATGATTTCCACAGCGTAAATGGAGGTAAAATCTTTGATCATTTTCTAGTGTTTTGTTTGAATGAATCCTATAGTATCTGTACTATTCAAGATTCAAAATCTTGATTTTTTTTCTTTTCTTTTATACTTCAGATTTCACTCCATCACTTGGAAACACTCCTAAGAGCAGTTTCTCAGATAGGCCACCACGTTTCCACAACCTTATATTCCACGAGAGGAAGTCGTCCCGAGGCTCGTCCTCTCCAGCGCCACTTCCAAGGAGGAAGAAGCTTGGTGAGCTATTCAGAGACAGTATAAGAGAAGAACGAGAAGAAAGCTCTGAAGGCGGTTCATCGTCAGCTATAAGCACTCCTTATCTCTCAGGTACTAACTCAGGCGAATTCAACGACACCGCCATCGAGAAGGAAGAGAAGAAGAAGTCTAATTGGCAGCATCATCGTTGTCTTCCTGGATTCTCTTCATGTGGTGGAAGTTTCATGGAGAGGAGGAAGAAGATGAGCTCCGAAACTCCTGTTGTTGCTGTGAAATGAGATGTAGAGAATCTTGAAACTTGGAAACGTTTTGTATATGAAAGAATGATAAAGAAGAGAGGGAGAGAGATACAGAGCTCTCAGAGTAAAAAGCTCTGGTAAATTTTACAGAGTACTCTTCTTGCTATGATGAGAAGAGAATCAATCAAATAGGTGAAGAGATAATGTAAAAAGGAAGAAAATGAGGTGCTTTGTTGATGAATTTTTGGATCTTGGCTTATGAAATTTGTCATTCTTGAATAGCATTACACCACTAAACATCTGTATTTAGTAGTTTAATCATGCATTAAATAGCTGATAATTGTTTATTTTTTCCGCTACATTCATGTAACTACTACGACATCTAATTAATTCGTGCACTAAAGAATTTTATTAGGTCTCAAACTCTCAATAGTCAAACACAATACTTAATACAATTTATTACTCCTTTCGTTTTAAATTAGTTTTCATTTTAAATGTTAAACTAGATTTTAACCCGCGGGCTATATTTAAAAAAAAAAAATGTAATTTTTTAGTAGATTAACTATATATATGACCTAATGTTTTGAATTTTCTAAATGTATAACTCTTATATCTCTATATTATTTAGTGTACAATTACTATGTTTGAGGTACCCCGCAGATCGATTTTTTATAACTAAAAAATTTAAAATTTAAATTATATTTTTTTGTTAATTTTGTTTGTTTTGTTTAGTGTTTAAGATGATATATTTGTATTTTGATTGTTATATCTAGAATTTCACCCGTATTATACCATCTCGTATTAATATCGACCCAAACCCGTCCCACCATCTAACCCCGTCCCGTGAAATTAAAAGTATTTTAAACAACTAAAATATTAAACAATTAAATTAAACAACGAAATATCTAGAGAATAGGCAATTTAAAATTTTTGAATATCTAGAGAATTATAATTAAACAACTAAAATTTATAAACAACTAAAAACTACTATTTATATTGGAATAAATTTTATTTTAGTTGTTTATTAGTTTTTGCTAAATTGAGTCGAATTGATTTCAAATTATTATTTTTTCCAAAACCTAAACTAAGGGGGGTGTATTGAAATAAGGATTTTAGAAGACTTTAGTCTTTTATTAAAATCATATGTTATTCAAGATGTGATTTTTAAATAGATTTCCAAATCCCTTGTTATTGAACTTGAAATTTATACGAAATCACCCAAAATCAGTCACAACCTCTTGTTATTCAATCAATGATTTATTAAACTTATATCAAATCAAGTGTTATTCAAACTTAACAAGTATTTTTAATAAAAACAGTGAACATTGATTTTGAGAGACTTTTGATACTTTTTTAGTTGAAAAATAGGAATGAAACAATCCCACCTCTATAGGTGTTATTTGGGGGGGATTTCAATTTTAAAAAAATTGTTCACAGCAAAAAATTGCAGAAATTTTCTTACCGTCCCTCTTATCATCATCTGTTCTTGATCCTTAGAGAAAGGGGTTTCATGCTCTGATTCACTCTCGAAAACTTTCTCGTTGCTTTACGTGTGTTTCAATGAGTCCCATTGGAATATCATGTTGACTTTCTCTCAATCCGGCGTCACTATCCTTCAAATCTTGGAAACGATTGCTAGGTTTCTCGTGCCGAGACGTCTGTACTTTTATAGTTAGGATTTTGAGAGATCTTTGAGAGAGAGACTCATGTTGGTTTCTGATACAGAGCTTGAGGAGGCTGTGAGAAAGCTTCTTGACGGCCGCATTCTTATATTGATGAGATTTTTTTTATTCTCGTGAGCTTAGTGTTCTTCTTCGCGTATAAATCATTTTTTCTAAACGTTTGTGATTGTCCTTTGATTGCTTCTTTTTGTTATCTTCAACTGCAAATATGTACAATGATTTCTTGCTGCAATTCCAAAGATGAAGAAGCCATCCTTGAAATTCCGGTTTTAGAAAGTCCATGAACTAATTAGTGTAGACATATGATGATCGACATTAGAGTAGACATATGCCAAGCATTATGGTTTGTGCTTAACTTACTCTTTTATCCCACTTTAGACCTGTCATGAGAATGAGACTATCTCATATTCCCTCTAACTGATGAAAATATGTTTTTTTTACATGTTCTTATTCTTTTCTGAACTGGATTTTTTTATATGGGGACGCGTATCTCTTGAATTCATTTTCATGTGTGTGGTGAGGATGCTGAGATTTTGGAGTTGGTGGTAATTGCTCCCTCTTTAACTTCATTTACTGGAAATTCAATTTACTTTATGTATGCAGTAACAAGGCAATGGTGCTATGGTCTTTTAAGTTAAAGGAAGGGGTATTTAGTTCACTCGTCTTTTAGTTGTTGCAAAGGTTTGGTTTCGTTTTGATTTCTTCTTTAGAAATTTCGTGGCTTTTTGTTTTGATTCTTTATCTACGAGATGACATATACTGTGGAGCTTTTTCCTGCAACTCTTGGTGTATATATAAGCTACTTGTTTGTCTATCCCTAAGTAAGACCTCAGTTATACTTCCTCATGATGATATAAATTTTTGTAGCTCAGGAAATTGCTCAAAGATGCAAGGTTTTTTTTTTCCCTATGTTTTGAACTACTATGTCGATATATTTGTTGGTAGAAATTAGAAAATGTAAGATTATAAAAATCTTCTTCTTCCTCGAGAAAACATGTTTGTTTCCAATAACAATCCTTTCACGGGACATATCCCAAATCCCAAATTAAAAATAAACCCTCTTAAATGACCTCTTAATCCTTACCAAATCACCAATCATTTTTTTTCTTTTAAAAATAAAAAATATAACAATTCCAACAAATATCCTGAAAACTTACTCAAATCTCTCAAAAAACTGAAATATAGAAATTCTACCAAATCTTCTAAAATATTGGTTCCAATACACCCCCCTAAATATTTTCAGCATTAAACGTTTTTAAAAAAAAATGTGTTAATAGTAAGTGATGCACGTACTCTAAAATTTCGATCAGTTGTACAAAATCCAGTTAGTTGTTTAGGTAATTAATTAATGGATTAACAAAAAATTTGTTAGCATTAAAACCAGATTTGTTAGAATTTAATCTATAATGCAACCATTTTATGTAGTTTTTGGTTTTGGATATTAACAAATATTTTGCAGAAATATAAGGAAAGATCCGTTTCAATATTTCCGGTGCAAAATCTTTAAATTGACCCGACCCAACCAATGGCATTTTTTGTAAATACTTAGCAACTCTAGGATTTATTTGCTAAGTGTACTCCAAAAATGTATATATAGATTAGTTATCGTTTTCTGTTTTCAATGCATATTTTTGATAAATTTTCTAATTTTATTGATACTCTTTTAGCTTATTAATTGATGATATCACATAAAACAATACATTAATTAGGGGTAAAACAAAATAATTGAATGCTTTATTAATAAGCGTAAAAAAAAACCTTAAACGACAACTAATTTAAAACGGAGAGAGTACTATTCTTTTTATCATATTAAACGATGTATTAGGGGGAATAAATTGTTATGTGAGTATAAGAATTTCAGAAAAACTTTATAGTTATTGAATTTCATATTAATCTTTAGTAAGTATATTATGGAATTCCCCAAAATTAATCCAACCACACAAATTTTCTTTTATGTCCATTCCAGATTTCATTGTCTAGGTTTTATATAATTTTCCGCGATTCCAAATATCCGCAGTTACCAACCAAAAATCTCAATCGAAATGAAGGATCAAAGAAAAACAAAAGAGGAAGTAGAAGCTTTAGGTGAAAGTTAGTTAATAAAGAATCTTGCTTGTTGTAGGCTTCTTGTCTTCTTAACTTATTTGGCAATTCTGATGCATACATTCTACTTGAACACACAGAAACTAACAAAAATAACCATAACACTAATTTAAAGATTCTTCAACCACTAAAGATCTTAGCTTTTATTCAACTCCAAGCTTTGTTATTTTTTTTGTCTCGTTTCTTCCTAACTTTGATCTCTTACGCAACTAATGTCCATGCATTCCCCTATATATACACGAGCTAGCAGGAAGCTTAGATTAAGTATTTCAAAACCGGATTCAATTCTCCAAACCAATGAAAATGCAAGCAGTTCTTGTTATCTTGGTTTTCTCCGGTTTAATCTCGGTTAAGACAACGTTAGCAGCACAAGCTGCACAACATGTGATCGGCGGTAGCCAAGGCTGGGAACAATCCGTTGATTTTGATTCTTGGTCTTCTGATCAATCTTTCAAAGTCGGCGACCAAATCGGTACGTTTCTCTCTAATATCGATTTCATAATCAAACCGACCGGTTTAATATTAACCAACCCTTTTTGTTTCTTGTAGTTTTTAAGTACTCCGGACTACACAGCGTTGTAGAGCTAGGAAGCGAAACGGCATACAAGAGTTGTGACCTGGGAACATCAGTCAATTCCTTAAGCTCTGGAAACGACGTCGTTAAGCTTTCTAAAACCGGTACTCGTTACTTCGCTTGTGGAACCGTTGGGCATTGCGAACAAGGCATGAAGATTAAAGTCAACGTTGTCTCTTCTGACTCCAAATCCGCTTCCTCTCCGGGTTCAGGTTCGGGTTCTGATTCAGGGTCGGGTTCTGGATCTAGTTCGGGTCATGGGTTACGTGCTTCCATTGGATATATTTTCGTTGTTGGATCGTTGGTTATTGGACTTATATGGGCTTACTGAGGAATTTTAGGCTTTAATGTATCGAGGATATATATATATTCGTGGAGAGAGAATAAATATTTTTGGAATTATTAATTCGTACTTGTTCTATTTTATATAGTTCGGATATTTGCATTTCTGATCTTATTCTATATATCTTGTTTTTCATGTTTCCTCAACCTATTGTCCACTTGATTGGTTCGGTTGGAATATTCTTTATTATGCTTTCTCATATAATCGTCTTTAATTTTTCCTGCCATCAACATTATTAATTTGTTAATTTCTTTATGGATTGGTGGATAAACTTTTTTTATATATATAAGAACATTATGTTGACAGGAAAAAAACACACAACATTATTGATTAGTTTTGTTAATATCAAGTTTTTTTGTACACAATTTAGCTTAGTACATAAACAATACCATTTCAGCACATCAAATAAACAATTTTTATTTATTAAATACAACATTTATAATTGAAATAAAATTAGAAATCATTTTTTGTCATCGTAAATTTTATTAAAAATTAGCAAAATTACATAGTACATCAGTAAAAACAAAAATATCTCTAGAAATTAAGCCGATGAAATGTTGAAAATATAGATTTAGATTTAGATTTAGCGGTTTTGATTTATGTTTATCTAGTTTTTTTTTTAAATAAGGTCGTTGTCACCTTATTTTTATTATTAAGTAGAAAAATATTACTTTAATTCAAGGAGTATTTAATTCGTTCGAGTTTCTCCCAAAAAAACATTTAAAAAAGACGGAGGGAGCGAGAGGACGGACAAGTGGGTTGCTAAATTGTGCAGAGATCGTCGTCACTGATCACTTACGAATCCTTTTTTTCTTCTCCGGAGACCAAATCGGAATTTTCACTCTCTTTACCTTCGCCGGGAAATTCAATGCCGGAAGATTCTAATGCGATTGACTATGTCATGGAGAAGGCATCGGGGCCTCACTTCTCCGGTCTTCGCCTTGACGGTCTCCTCTCTTCTCCGTCGAAATCCTCCGTCTCTTCTCCGTCTCACTTCCGTTTGAGTAATTCATCTTTTTCCGCTATCGACGATTCCGCCGCTCCTCATCAGCCCTTCGTTATCGGTGATTTTCTATTCTCGCGCTTTGATTCTTGCTTTAGTCAACAATCGAACTTTCTCTAATTCCGATCATCGTGTATTATCTCTCAATTTCTTGAAATTGGTGCTTCTACTGCATTTTATAGGGTTTTATCTTAGGGTTTTAGCTTTACGAAATTTCCGGTAGCATTTGCGATTCCAAGATTAGAGAAATCTGGATCAATATCAGTTTCTAGGGTTTAAGATTGAACATGTTTAGAAAATTTTATTTTCCTTTGACTTATGTAGGAGTTACTGGTGGTACTGCTTCTGGTAAGACCACGGTGTGTGACATGATTATTCAGCAACTTCATGATCATCGCATTGTTCTTGTTAACCAGGTTAGATTCTGTAGCTACTCCTTGTTCTCAGTTCTTTTGAGATTCCATCTTTGTTGTGGTACTCTGATGCTGTTTTGTTGATTAGGATTCCTTTTATCGTGGTCTGACATCTGAAGAACTGGAGCATGTACAAGAATACAATTTTGATCATCCTGGTAATTTGTTCTTCTGATTTGGGAATACTGGTAGTCAGCTGAGGAAAATTTTGGTGAAATTTGACCGTCTGTTGTTTCTCGTTTTTTCTCAGATGCCTTTGACACTGAGCAGCTTTTGCATTGCGTTGACACACTCAAGAGTGGACAACCTTATCAAATTCCAATTTACGACTTCAAAACCCATCAACGTAAATTAGATGCTTTTCGCCAGGTGCATAATCTTCGGTGTCTCCATTTTTTTGACCTCCTTATATGGTTGCTTTCTTCGGTTTTATGGGTTTAGCTTCTAATGTCATGTGGTTGAATTTTCGGATTATCGTTTGTTAAATCAATCAGTTGGGACATTTGTCAGGTCAATGCTTGTGATGTCATTATTTTGGAAGGGATTCTAGTTTTCCATGACTCACGAGTTCGGGACCTGATGAATATGAAGATCTTCGTTGACACAGGTTAACTAGCTACACTATATTGTCTCTTTATTTGACTTTATTTATTCTGCACAACTATAAATGATATAGTGACAATTTTATATTGTGATGGAAGTTGTCCACCTCCTTCTCTGTAGCTGATGGTACCCTTGATGGACTAACTCACTTTCGCCATATTATTTATTGTTGACCATTAATGACTGAATCAATGCCTTTAAAGCTATATAGTTAGCAAACTTTGAATCTGCCTGAAATGTCAATAAACCTCTTTGAAGTTAAGATTCCTCATCTTAGCTATTTATTGGTTCCAGATGCTGATGTGAGGCTTGCTCGCAGAATCAGGCGTGACACGGTTGAGAGGGGTAGGGATGTTGATTCTGTGCTTGAACAGGTTAGTCTTTGTTTTAGGTTTTGGTGTAAAATTTGTTACCAAGGTTTTCCTATCTAAGTTAATACTCTAATGTGTGAGTACGAGACCAGGAATTGGCAACCTATGGTTTTTGTGCAATACAGAACAACTCAATGCCCCTCCTGTTGTTCGAGTGACTCTTGCTTAACTCCGCTCTTTGAACTGTTTTCCTGTATAACTGTGTTGTTTTCTGAGCTTCCTTTTATTTTTCAACTGTTTCCTTTTTTGAGAATGTTCTGTTCATTTGCAGTATGCAAAGTTTGTGAAGCCCGCGTTTGATGATTTTGTGCTCCCCTCTAAGAAATATGCTGATGTGATCATTCCCCGAGGAGGTGACAATCATGTTGCAGTTGATTTGATTGTGCAACATATCCACACAAAACTTGGGCAACATGATCTCTGCAAAATCTACCCAAACGTTTTTGTTATTGAATCAACATTTCAGGTAATTTCTGTCTTTTCCAGCTGTTTGACGCTTGATTAAAATTCAATTCTTCTAGCGATTTGGGGATTTCCATAACTTTAACATAGTTTCGATAAGGCTTAAAACCATCTTCTCACTTTAAGATCATAATTGCAGATTAGAGGCATGCATACACTTATTCGAGAGAAGGACATATCAAAACATGACTTTGTGTTTTACTCAGATCGCCTCATTCGTTTGGTACTCTTTTTAACTCTTGTCATCCCTGCCAATGTTACTCAGCTTCCAAGCCTTGTCATATCAATTGTTGATGGCTTTCTTTCAGGTTGTAGAGCACGGTCTTGGCCATTTGCCATTCACTGAGAAACAAGTAGTTACCCCAACAGGTATATGAGGAAAATGGCTTGAGCTGTAACTATACTTATTTTTTTATATATGGTAGTCATGGTGTCTGAAAATCTGGACCAACTAGTTCTTGAGACCCTTTAACGTTTAACGTTACATGGATCTAGAATAATTGTCTGTGCCTTGTGGAAATCGAAGTGAAAACCTCATGCTTTGGCATTTACTGATTGATTGCATCCACACAATCATAATTTCTTATCTTTTACAAATCAGGATCTGTGTATAGCGGTGTTGATTTCTGCAAGAAACTTTGTGGCGTCTCAGTCATTCGAAGGTGAGCGTTAAAAGGTATTACGTGTTTTATAGTTCTTAATAGATGGAGACTGGAGCTGTTTAATTTTCCATTTTGTTTATGTGTTAAAATATGGAAGTATGGAACGTAAGTAACATTGTTTGCTCATGTGTTGAGTGAGTTCTCTTTTTAATTCTTTTCTCTTGCCTAAAGTTTTCTGTTTTGCACGCTTTGTTAGTGGTGAAAGCATGGAAAACGCATTACGCGCGTGTTGCAAAGGGATAAAGATAGGGAAGATTCTCATCCATCGTGATGGCGACAATGGAATGCAGGTTTGTTTACGTTTTGTACTCTTTAACAGTCTACAAAGATCATGTCTCTTTTCTAAAACTCAGAAACTTTTTGGCATTTGAATCAGCTTATATACGAGAAGCTTCCAAGTGATATCTCCGAGCGCCATGTCCTGCTTCTAGATCCCGTTTTAGGCACAGGTAATTTTACTTCCTTCTTTCTCTTTTTCTTCTGCTTTGAAGTGTATTTTCTCTGAATCTTTCCATGTGGATGATATCTTGAAGGTAACTCTGCAAATCAGGCGATAGAACTACTCATACAGAAAGGAGTACCTGAAGCCCACATTATATTCTTAAATCTCATCTCGGTGAGTGTTAAATCAACCGACCGTAACTTGGTCCCTCTCTCGATATCTCAGTCATAAAACTCACAATAGATTCTCTGCATCGTGTAGGCGCCAGAAGGAATCCATTGCGTCTGCAAACGGTTTCCAAAGTTGAAGATTGTGACGTCAGAAATCGATCAGTGTCTGAACGAAGAGTTCCGAGTTATACCAGGCTTGGGTGAGTTTGGTGATCGCTACTTTGGTACTGACGAGTAGAAACACCAAAGTGTTTGTCAATGGTTATTGTGCTTGTGTGTGAATGGAAGTGTTTTTCTTTGTCTAAAGAATCTTCACGGGCTTTGTTTTTTTCCTCTGCTGGGATTGGGAAGCTTCTCGCTCACTAATTACTAGAATCGAAAAACTCATTTCAAGATTCTTGGTTTACGCAGTTCATATTCGACGCCATTTCGCCCTCAACTCTTTACAGTTCGTTTCTAGGTACCCTGTTAACTTTTAAGCATCACTGACTGATGCATTACTATTTTATTTTCATTCTATTCCGTGATCGAATTCTAGACCTTTTGGTCAAAAAACTACTTTCATTAGAACCAGTAGCATAGTTTTTTTTCATTAGAACCAGTAGCATACTTTCAAAAAACTACTTTCATTAGAACCAGTACCATTAGTTTTCCCACAAGAAACCTTGAATTTCATAAAATTTCAATACATTGGTTTTGATCTATGAGATTGATTTCATAAAATGTTTACATTGATTTTTGTCCATTGAATTAACATAAATGATATTATTTTAGTTTATTTTGTCAACCATACACATTAAATTGGAAAACCGGGTTGGACGCGTTCCTAATTTTAACACTATGGGCCAAACAATCGGTCCGGGAATTCAAGTACAAAAGAAACTTAATAGGAAAAATTATATCAAAAAACACCATCAAATAATATTAAAACATATTCAGCCGATCTAATTTATATGTTGAATAAGAAGATAAAACTCATGGAAAACGTTTTTGATGAATAAACGACAAGAAAATAATTAATCATGCACATACAAAGACATTATAGGATTCACATCTTTATACACACATAACACATTCACCATCACATCACCACTTTTGTCTTCTCTCAAAAGATAAAAGAGGAAGAAACTCATAAGTCATGAGCTTCTTTCATACACGGTTCCATCTCTTTTTCATTTCACATTTCGAATTTTAGATTTTGACTAGACTAGTGTCTATTGTGTTATAATGCAAAACTCGTCTTGGATCCCTCCAATTTTATGTTCAGTAATTCCGCATCCATTTACTATATAATTACTGACACTATAGTGTCCAAAAATCAGATTTCTAATTTTTAAAAGTGCATATATCTTTAAACTATGAAACCTAGATTTTTTTCAAAAAAAAAAAAAAGACTATGAAACCTCAAACCTAAACACCACAACAAGTTTTACTTAAAAAAATATGATACTTTAGATGTAATTTCAAAAATACCACCAAATTTATGTTTAGTAATCCTACCCAAAATTTGTAGGATTTTGTCGTTTTGGTGGTAATTTTGGTCAACAACATAACATAAAAATATAAAATACGTTATGGGTTAGAATGTCATTTTTAGAGAGACAGTGTTCAAATTGTTTTAGGTTATATTTTAGTAGAGGACGACTTATTATAGGGTTTATACCTTAAAAGTACAAACTATTAATTAAGTGGAAACACACAATTAGTCAATGAAAAGAATCAATTATTTCGGTGAAAACAAAAGACCTTTGAAATGATAGTCGATGAAGCTCATGAGTCATGTCATGGAAAACGTTTATTGAGCTTAGGTGTGTATGTGTATATATACATACACAAAAGACTAGAGATCCACAACACTAAACTACATCAATTGATTTTTCATTACTTAGAAACCTTTGCATTCTAATATTTTCAAAGAATGGGCTTTCTTCTTCGTTCAATCTGTTTCATTTTCTTCCTTTTAAATTTTCTAAACACGTTTGCTTCTCCTACACGGCACTTATGCCGCCCCGACCAAAGGGATGCCCTTCTTGACTTCGAAAGCGAGTTTACGATTCGGAATCTTGATACTGATTATTTTTCTAGTATTTCGTACCCAAAAACGAAATCGTGGGCAAAGAGTAGTGATTGTTGTTCATGGGACGGTATCACGTGCAATGCCAAGTCCGGCGAAGTGATCGAGCTAGACCTTAGTTGTAGCTGCTTCCACGGAATACTCAATGCCAATAGTAGTCTTTTTAAGCTACAAAAGCTTCGTGTCCTCAATCTTGCTAACAACGATTTCGAGTCTTCTATGATACCAACTCAATTCAATAAACTCATGGAGTTAACAAGACTCAATCTTTCCGATTCTTGGTTCTCGGGTATAATTCCAACAGAGCTTCTTCATCTAACCAAGTTAGTGTCTCTCGATCTTTATTCTAATTCTTTATCAGCTGAAAAGTCATTTCTTAGCAAACTCGTCCAAAATTTGACAAACCTAGAGGAACTTTACCTAGGTCTTGTTAACATTTCTTCCGAAATTCCTCAAAATATCTCAAACCTATCATCTCTCAAATCACTCTCTCTTGATGATTGCAACTTGATTGGTGAATTTCCAAGCAGTCTTTTTTTGATTCCTAGTATACAATCCATTAACTTGAACGGAAATCAAGATATGGAAGGTACTCTTCCAGAGTTTAATGTAAATAACTCTCTTGTTTCGTTGGACCTTTCTTGGATAAAACTTTTAGGTAACATACCTTACTCTATCGAAAACCTCAAACATTTGAACACTTTGAAACTTCAGTTTTGCAAATTCCATGGAAAGATTCCATCTTCATTTGGAAATCTTACTAATCTATCCGTTCTCGACCTTTCAGATAATTATTTTAGTGGTCCGATCCCTTCTTCTTTTGGAAACCTTTTCAATCTCACCTACCTTGACCTTTCTTCAAATAGATTTGATGGCCAAATTCCGTCTTCGTTTGTCAATCTTGAGCAACTAACCACTTTACGCGTTGGTTCTAATATGCTTAGTGGTAACTTTCCTCTTTCACTACTCGATCTTACAAAGTTGACAGATTTATCACTCGCTGACAATCATTTCAAAGGTTCACTCCCTCCAAATATGAGTTTACTCTCTAACTTGGAGACTTTTGATGCGAGTGACAACACTTTCAATGGAACTCTCCCATCTTCTCTCTTCAACATCCCTTCTTTGACTTCTATTGTTTTGAAAAACAATCAACTCAACGATATTCTTGAATTTGGGAATAGCTCTTCACCGTCTAAACTAGAAAGGTTATCACTCAGCCATAACCATTTCAGAGGGTCAATCCCAAAATCCATTTCAAGATTAGTCAATCTCTACCAGCTTGATCTTTCCCATTTTAACGCGGGGATGACAGTCGACTTTAGTATCTTCTTGCAACTCAAGGGGCTCATAGATCTGGACCTAAGCTATTTGAACACCACCAATACTGTTGATTTAAGTATCATATTCTCACATCTTAGTCTCCTATCTTCATTGCATCTATCCGGGGTGCTCGTCTCAACAACAAAGATGGGTTCAGTTTCCAAGCTACCATCACGCATGAAAGAGTTGCTCTTGTCAGGCTGTGGTATCACAGAGTTTCCAGAGTTCGTAAGAAACCTTCAACATATTTCTGACTTAGACCTCTCCAACAACAAAATCAAAGGTCAAGTGCCGCAATGGGTATGGAAACTACCACAGTTGATGATACTAAATCTTTCCACCAACTCTTTTACTGGTCTCGAAAGATTCTCAAATGATTTCCCAAGACCGGAGATTATTATGTTAGATTTGAGTTCAAATGCGTTCCAAGGACCGTTAGTTATCCCACCAGTCTCTATGGAAGCCCTGCTCGTCTCCCAAAACAACTTCACAGGAAAGATCCCGCGATCCATTTGTCAGCTAAGCTATCTACAAGTCCTTGATTTATCGAACAACAACTTCACCGGCTCAATCCCCCAGTGTTTAAAGAAACTGAATAACTATATATCAGTGCTTAACCTCCGCAATAATCAACTTAGTGGAAATATTCCAGAAATATTTACCAATGCTACCGACTTAAGTTCACTTGACGTCAGCCACAACAAATTGGTGGGAACACTTCCAAGGTCTTTGAAGAGCTGCTCTAGCTTGGAAGTTTTCAACGTGGGAAGTAACGAAATCAACGACAGATTTCCATTCTGGTTGAATTCTTTGCCTCAGCTACAAGTACTTGTACTTCGCAACAACAAATTCAACGGACTCTTATACAATCCTCATCAGAGTTTTGGGTTCTCCAAGCTGCAAATCATTGATATAGCCAACAACCACTTCACCGGGAACTTGCCGTCACACTATTTTGCAGATTGGAACATGACAACACGTAAAGATTTCTCAGGATTTGACTACATTGGATATGGTGGATACTATTACCGTGATTCGATGGTCTTGATGAGTAAAGGACTAGAGATGAAACTCGAACGGATCTTTACACTCCTAACAGCCATCGATTTTTCGGGAAACAAACTCCGAGGAAAGATCCCTCAATCCATTGGTATGCTCAAAGATCTTATACTGCTCAATATGTCAAGTAACGATTTCACTGGCAACATCCCTTCATCTTTGGCGAATCTTACTCAACTTGAGTCACTAGACTTATCACATAACAAGCTCTCAGGCCAGATTCCACCTACTCTCGGAGACCTCACTAGCCTATCTAACATTACGGTTTCACACAACCAGCTCGTCGGTCCAATACCACAACGCGCACAGTTTCAAACACAAGATGCTTGGTCTTTTGAAGAAAACTTTGGACTATGTGGTCTTCCTCTTAGTAAAAGTTGTGGAAACGTTGACATGGAGCAACCACAAGAGCAAGAATCAGAGGAAGAAGAAGAAGAAGTAATAAGTTGGATTGCAGCTGCCATAGCGTTAGCACCTGGACTCATCTTTGGATTGACAATTGGACACATTGTCATTACACAAAACCCTCAATGGTTCGTTACCGGACGTCGATGATCACGTTATGTCATTTCAAATTGTGAGGTATTTAATCAACAACTAGATCATGACCCGCACATACGTGCGGGGTTTCATATTTTAAAAAATTTCTAACAAATTTTAATTCAGTATAGATTATTTTGTTGTTTTTAACTTTTTATGATATATATATTTTAGTGTATTAGATCTGGATCCACATACGTGTAGAGATATTTTTATAGAAAATTTTATAGAGATTTTAAAAATATAAAATATTTGTTGTGTTAGTGAACTTCGTAATAGTATAAATATTATAAAGTTAGAGTAATGAACAAAATTCAGTTGCGTTAATACATAATTATATTTTAAGATCCGGACTAATTTAGTTGCACAAGTTAAGTGGTGTTACATTTTTATTTTCTTAACTAATTAAAATAGTTCTAACAGTTTGATTACATATGTTAAATAGGATATGAATTCGGTTTTAGTTTGGGTTATTTCATGTATATTAGCTAGGAGTAACTATTTTGGAACATGAAAATATCCCGTCCGATATCTGTCATAAATTCTTTGTCCCATAATCTGTCACGTATACGTAAAATAAAAATATTATGGTCCCATATCTGTCATAAATATAGTATGTGTAACTGAAAACGTATGTACAGTGTTACGTGTGTAAACAAATTTATTTTATATAGTGCTCATAACCCGAACTCATGCCAGTTGGGTATTTAGTTTGATTTTTAATATATGTTCCCCTCCCATCTCGTCTCGTAATTTCTATTTCCATTTTATTCCATTAAAATCATATTCCAAATTCTTGTTTGCTTACTTTTAAGTACCATACAATATTACAATATATATTGTGAGTTTTGCGGATTAATATGTATACTGTTAAAGTTATAAATATATTTAAACAAATTTATTAATGTTTCTAGCTAAATTTTGCATATTTTTCTTTTCATTGTTTAATCATAATTAATTCGATTTTTGGGACTAAAATTAAAATTTGAGATACATGTATAAAAGGGATATGCTATTGCTGCATAATTTGTTTTGAATGCAAAATATATATAATTAGTTCACATTATTTCAAAAACTGTGTGCAATATATTATGGATTTGTTTAAAGAAGATCCGGTTGAGAAAAAAAACACACAATATATTTCGAAATTAATATGTACAATCTTTTGTTTAGATATTTCCGAAAATTTCTCTAAACGAAGGCCATAACGATAATTACATATCATTATTTGAGTTTATTTCATAGTAAATATAAATATTTGTTAATATCTAATATCGTTTTTTTAGAAATTGTGAAATAAAATTTTGTTTTATATTTCAAAATTTGTGAAAATATTATAACAAAACTGAGTCATAAATATTTGTATTTAATTCTTTTATAAAATTTCAAATTCAATATTAAAATCCTCAATTGATAAAACTTTTTAAACGATAGTGTTTTTTATTTTGAATTACAATGGTATTATTTTTCTTTTTATTTTTGATATAGAATAGTTTATTAGGATTGGTTTAGATAAAATTTTAGTTGGATATCAAATCTTATTTTTTCGATTCTCATTGGTTAACAAATTTTTAGAAAATATTTTTTAATTTTCGTCCATAATAAATATGAGAGAGAAAGTGAGTTTAATTTTTTGGAAACTAATAATTACTTTAAAGAATTTTACTATTTTTTATTTAAATATATTATTTAAAAACAAAAAACAATGGCATTTTTGTAATACTTTACACTTTATAAGGTTATTTATGTTTGAGTGCTTCCCAATTAATAGTATAGATTCAAGCATATATATGAAAATATTGTTGCAACTTGTATCTTGTAACTAATTTAACTTTCTCTTTTGATTCACAGTTTGAGAAGAAGCTAACACAAAACAAACTTAAGGAACAAGGAAGACTAATAAGAGAGATTTATTCTCTATATATGCAATTTTTTTTTTCAATATCGATGCATTAATATTTTTTTGAGTAAATTTATTGATTTCAAAACCAAATTACAATGTTACTAATGGAGATCAACTACGAATTAACGAATGTGTTTTTCAATACATCTATTTTTTTGTTAGACACTTTAGTATACTTGTGAGTTGTGACAAACGTATATAAGCGAATAGAGGATTCGACCCCTCAAAGCCCAAAAGCATAGGTAAATCTCAACCGGGTAAAGGGCGACTTATTATAGGGTTTATACCTTAAAAATACAAACTATTAATTAAATGGAAACACACAATCAATCAATGAAAGAAATCAATTATTTCGGTGAAAACAAAAGACCTTTCAAACGAAGTCGATGAAGATATGGAAGGCTCTCTTCGAGAGTTAAATGTAAATAACTCTCTTCTAGTTAGAAAGTAGGTAAAAAAAAACATTTTCTTGTTTTGTTTGGAAATTAACTACATTTACCTTTTCAAAGAGTAACAGATTTTAGGAAAATCTCTCTGTTATGTTAAACTTACTTTTGTTAAAATATAGCAAATATTAAGTCGTTATCCCATATATAGACTTGTTAATTCTAATTCCTAAAGCAATATAGAGAGTGTTTTTTTTTTTTCGTTTACCTAAGAAGAAAGAAAAATCTTAAAAGTATGTGCAACATATACATGGAGGAAGAAGGCACTCTAGCACGAGAAGAAGATGGCCTAAAACCCGAGACCTACGATCTTTACTTCAAGGGTTTGGTAAGAAAGGACTCATTGGCAGGATTTGGGGTCGCAATTTGCAGACAAGAGGACGATACTCTCTTGTTTAGGATGAAGGGATCCATCCATGACTCTGTCATTACAGTTTTGGAGGCTGAGCTTACGGCATTGAAGCGAGGACTAACGGAAGCCGTGAGTTTGGGGATGACTCATATCTTAATCTGCTGTGATCATTATCAGATTTATAATTTGGTAAGATTTCTTTGGTTCATCAGTAAAAATATGTCTTTGCTTCAATATTGTAGTTGATGTTTTGCCGTTGAATGTTTTCAGGTCACGGGGAGATGTGCGCCTGAGCAAGAGAACACCGCGTTGCTAATGGATGATGTGCAACGCATAAGACAACAATTGACATCTAGCATCCCTGTTCTGATGACTGAAAATCAAGCTAACTTTGCTTATAAACTTGCATTGGAAACACTAGTTTCTGAAATCAGCATACGTATGCCTCCGAATAACACAGGATCTATGAGATGCTGCAATGTTTCGTGTCGTAGTAACTTGTCATGCAATGATTGCAAGAGGTTGGATACAAATCCTACAGCAATGTGGCTTCAATGTAAAAAGTGCCCAGACATGATCAGACTATCATCGGAATACGACTTCAGTGCAACTTGCAGGTATCATCTTTAATAACATTCTTTAGCTACTAATAATATAATTTGTCCTTATTGGGAAATTGATTATGTTTTTCGCCTAATTAACATATCTTGTAATGTTTCTTGTTGATGGACAGATGTGGCTATTCCTTTTGCTGCACATGTGGAGCCGAATGGAAGCTTAGAGGAGGTTGCATTCATCATCATGCCCAAATGGTTGTCAAAATGGTTTTCTTTGGCATTGCTATCTGTGTAATTTTATTTATCTTTATAATTGCTCCTATTCATAATGCTTTCTTTTTAGAGAAAAACACTTTATACCAGAATTAAGAAGAAAAACGATTGTTTTTTTTTTGGTTTACGTTATACTATATAATATGTCAAGAAAAGCATAATCCAATAAAGTCAAGTGGTGTATGATCAGTTGTTCTTGCATCTCAAGGTACTCTAATGTCCTTGTTCGCTCAGAAACAGGGTCTTCAGCTGGCAGAGAAGTAATACCAACAGTATCAACAACCTCGTCAGGTAGAGAAGAAAGAGTAGCTCGGACAGCAAAGAGTAGTTGAACCAACCTAGAGAGGATCAATAACGACGAATCGCGAAGCTGCAAGATGGTTTCAATACTAAAACATTAATAGCTGTAGGGGTATATCGTAGGAGTATAGAGGAGAAACCTGCTGCTACATGTCTTCAACTGAAACCAGTCCCAGCAATTCCATGCAATCTTCGTGTAGCTCAGCTTCTGAAAGGGAATCCACACCCTCAGCTCTAATCAGAGCACAAGATATCTCTGAAATGAAAAAAAAAAAAAAGGAGAGACTAACATTATCCAAAGTAAGCTCATCATTGAAAAAGCTTATATAATGCATCAATCCGCTTCAAGAACTATAATCAAAAGAAAATTCATTCTTCTATCAAAAACAAGATTACATTGTACCAGGATTCCTATTTCTTCTTGATCAAAACATAAAATAACTCAACAAGCTAGAACTTGTGGAAAACAGCACTTGATTGGTTTACAATGTACAATTTTTCTAGTTCACAAAGCCAGTACAAGAAGCCGTCAAGTCAGCAATTTGAGATTATGGTTGGATAATTTGTTCAATATCAGTGAGACAGTAACAAGAAAACTAACTAAGAATCACAGAGTTCAATAAAAGTTGAATCAAAAACCCTCGGATCGAGAACCTTAATGGCCGTAAAATCGAATCGGAACAAACAATCAGTGCTATATGAGAATCTCTTGAATGGATTTTTGGAATGGAACCCTTTGCTTTCTTACACATTCTTTAAAAGCCAAATAAATTTGGTAGTTTCACAACACAAGCAGCCGAGATCCAGAGTCGTTGTGTAGCACATCAAAACAGAGGACCATTTCTGACCATAATCAAAGTCCTAATTATCTCGAAATAAAGATTCATAATAAGAAGAAATAAGTTCACACTACAAACGATCAGAGAAGCCAGATCAACCATTCAGGCGACATAAACAAAAGAAAAGAAAAAAAGAGAGCCTTAGATACTGAGCCGGTCAAACACCCGCCTTAGATTGAATCTCCATGTCCACGTTTTCTAAGCCTCATAACTGCAATTTGCAGAACCGAAACAACAATCGGAGGAGGCAACAAGTAACAGATTTTACTGTATTTACCTTTTCAATAAGTAACAGATTTTAGGAAAATCTCCCTGTTATGTTAAACTTCCTTTTGTAAAAATATAGCAAATATTAAGTCATTCAATATATAGACTTGTTAATTCTTCTTCGTAAAGCAATATAGAGAGGTTTTTTTTTCGTTTACCTAAGAAGAAAGAAAAATCTTAAGAGTATGTGCAACATATACATGGAGGAAGAAGGCACTCTAGCACGAGAAGAAGATGGCCTAAAACCTGAGGCCTACGATCTTTACTTCAAGGGTTTCGTAAGAAAGGACTCATTGGCAGGATTTGGGGTCGCAATTTGCAGACAAGAGGACGATACTCTCTTGTTTAGGATGAAGGGATCCATCCATGACTCTGCCATTACAGTTTTGGAGGCTGAGCTTACGGCATTGAAGCGAGGACTAACGGAAGCCGTGAGTTTGGGGATGACTCATATCTTAATCTGCTGTGATCATTATCAGATTTATAACTTGGTAAGATTTCCTTGGTTCATCAATAAAAATATGTCTTTGCTTCAATATTGTAGTTGATGTTTTGCTGTTGAATGTTTTCAGGTCACTGGGAGATGTGCGCCTGAGCAAGAGAACACCGCGTTGCTAATGGATGATGTGCAACGCATAAGACAACAATTGACATCTAGCATCCCTGTTCTGATGACTGAAAATCAAGTTAAATTTGCTTATAAACTTGCATTGGAAACACTAGTTTCTGAAACAAGCATACGTATGCCTCCGCATAACACAAGGTGCTCTGGATCTATGAGATGCTGCAAAGTTTCGTGTCATAGTAACTTGTCATGCAATGATTGCGAGAGGTTGGGTACAAATCCTGCAGCAATGTGGCTTCAATGTAAAAAGTGGTTTCAATACTATTGGTGGCTATTTGAAGAGCACCAATAATATTGATTTAAGTATCGTATTCTCACATCTCAGTTTATGATTTATGAAATAGTTTAGGATTTCCATTTTCTTATTTACGATTATGCAAAAAAAAAATTATCAATCAAGATAATCTGCATAATGTTTACTAAAAATTATAAATAATAACTGATAATACAAATAAATAAGTGTATAATTGCTTATTTTGCTATGCGATTTTATATTATGCGAATTTTGGTGACTTATGATATTACCAATGGCAGCCACAATATCACGAATGTGTTGTCTATTAAATTATTAATCTATTTTTTATTAGACACTCCTCAAAAGGATATGTAAATCTCAACCGAGTTAGGATCGGGTCGGATCAATCCGGGTCGGGTCTAGTTGATTTTGGTTTAATACAAACCGGGCAGAGATATTTATTGGGTTTATCCATTCCCGCCACGGAGTAAAAATCCTTCGCCGGCGACAGTGAAGACGAAGCAGCAGCGATGACTTCGTCGAGCCTTTTCTCGTTCAGCTCTCGTTATCCGATCATAACCTGCCGCGTGTCACCTCCAACTTCGCCCTCCGTCGTCACTTCTCTTCCTCTCCCGTCGTCAAGCTCTTCCGACTCATTAGCTTGTTCTCTCAAATGTCCTCATTTCCAATCGTACGTTTCTCTCCGCCAAATAAATCTCTATCTCTTAGTCTCCGTGATAATCGATTCGATTTCGTCTCTGGATTTTCCCAGGTGCTCAGGTTGTACGCAGGAGTTCAATCTCCACCGTCCAGCTGTTGTCGACGAAGCTTCAGGCTTCTTCAAGCGTTACGGCGTCGAAGATTTCACTTTCGATAGTTGTAGACTGGTGCTAATTTCTCACTTCTTCTTCTTCTGATTTCTCATCGTTTTGGTTTCTGGTGATGAATTTTTGGATCTTGTGGCCAGTGGGGATGGAGATGCCGAGCAAAATTGGCTGTTCGTGGCACTTCGGATAATGCATTGATTGGATTGTACCAAGAAGGAACTCACACTGTTGTTGATATTCCTGAATGCAAATGTAATTTTTATTTCTTTACATTGATTTTGTGGTTTTCATGATGGTTTTGATTTAGGTTGAGTTATGAATTTTGCAGCTCATCATCCTAATATTAATGCTGCCATTGAGTTACTGAGAGAAGGTAGTAGTAGTTTTTATATGTGTCTTGCCATTGATTATGTGTATTTGCCATTTGATGAGTTTTTGCTATGATTTAAGGTATTAAGGTGTTTGATGTCGTGCCATTTGATGAGGATCAGGGCACTGGGGACTTACGATATGTTCAGGTGATGAATGTTTGAGTCTATATGGGTATTTTTCTATTCCAATCTGGTGCAGTGTGATGATGAGGTTTTTTCTATAGATGGCTGTTACGACGCACAGTACAAATCTTCGTGCCCCAGAGAGATACAAAAATGGTTCAAGATTTTTATTTGGTTTAGTTTCTTTACACTTTGATATGCTGCAATTAGAGTTGTTGCTGAGTTTGAATATTGGTTTCAGGAAAAGTGCAGGTGTCCTTGGTTTGGAACTCGAGAAATGAGAGATCTCATAATGCAGATAAGTTGCAAGCATTGTCCAGCGTGAGTTTTTTGGAACTTGTAATTCCTTTTGCTTGTTTCACTCATTTGTTTTTGCAATTGTGACTTATATGTCTCTCATTTGCAGTACCTTTGGAGAAAGGGTGGACCCAACAGCAAGTTTCACCTGATCCATTCTGTCTGGGCTAACTTTCAGACATCAACCAACAATGTGAGTCAGTGAACACGATTTTCTTATGCTAGGGCCAAAGATTCAGGGAATATCAGTGTTAGCTTATAGACTTTGTTCTGGCAACATGTTGTGAACTGGAAGCTTTTCTCCCTAAAAGTGTTCCTCTCGTTTTGTTCAGTTGTTTAACATCAGACTTGATTTTTCTGTTTTTCTTAGATAATTTTTGGAAATAGATGGAGGCATCTTTTAGGTGAGAGAGATTTCTGGGAACACGTAGGAGGAATTGACATATCCTTGGATCCTTCCAGTTTTGGCCAGGCAAATACACGGGTGAGCCTGCGGATATCGAGTTAACCTCTATGAGCCGAAAGTAGATCAGTACATTTGACTTGCTATTTTGAGTAAATTGTCATATTTGATGTAGTCAATACTCTATGATTACTAATATGTCAAATGTTTGTGTCAGGCTTTTGATAGCTTGCTTTGGAAACTGCATAAGTATGTTCCAGGTGGATCATCTGTTGCTGATCTCTATGCAGGAGCCGGAGTGATTGGATTATCATTAGCTACTTCAAGGAAATGCAGGCAAGAACAGAGATTATTCACATCTGTCCTTCAGCTAATATGTTCATATTGAGAGAAGATTGACCCTAACTGTTTACTTTAACCTGCTTTCAGTTCTGTCAAATGCATTGAGGTTAACAAAGAAGCAAGGCTGTCTTTTGAGAAAACAATCCAGCGGTTGCCGAACTCATTGAATTGCAGCATCAGTTGGCACCATGCAGATGCTTCAGTTGTAAGTAGGGTTATTCGCAAAAATATTTTCCCAATTTTTTCAGCAGATTATATTGATGTGTTTTACCTTGTATTCGAAATTCTACAGAACCCTCTTTCGTGGATTATAGGATCAGATGTAGTCGTTGTGGATCCTCCTAGGAGAGGTCTCGATGCTTCTCTCCGTCAGATGTTGGAGTCTGTCCCCTCCATTGAGAAAAGAATGAGGTCGTCATCACAGAGGTTGTTAAATTTCTTCCGAATAAAAAGTTTTTTGAATTTTGTCCAAATACAATCTTTGAAACCCATCATCAAAACTCAAAAGCTAGTTCTTTTTGGATCTGTTAATTTTCTCTTGTTTTAGTTCAAACTCGAACACAAAAGAGGAGAAGAGGCCGTGGATTTTAAGAGCAAAGGAACTTTCAATTCAAGCTGGCAACAAGCTGACCCCTGAGGAGAACAATACACTACCACAAAGACTCATATATATAAGCTGTGGTTGGGAAAGCTTTAAGGAGGTACTAGAGACAAACACTGATATCACCTCTATACTAATGGCCAATAAGTCACCAAAAAATGCTGCCGCTTTAGTTCATTCTAACTTTTAAACAATTGCTTAGGACTGCAAGTCGTTATTATCTAGCAGAGCGTGGGAGTTGGAAAAAGCCCATGGCTTCAACTTCTTTCCCGGAACCGACAGGTATCAGTAGATAGAAACATTTACTTCCATTTCTACTACATAAATATCTTTCATGCTTATTTTCAATTGTGTTTTCAGCATTGAAGTTTTGGCCGTATTCAAAAGAAGGGTTGCGATAAAGAAAAAGAAGAAATCGGGAATAAAGAAAGTGGGAATAAAGAAAGTGCGTGCTAAGTCACAGGACTCTTATTAGTTAATGTCTGTAACACTTGAACTTCAGAAGTTTAGGAGATCATCTAATGGATGAGAAAACAGTTTTGCTCTGTTCCTGTTGATAATTTGTGCCATTGCAAGTAGAAAAAGAGATGTGTGCAATATTTATCTTATCAACTTCTGTTGGATATGAAGAAAAAGTGCAAAACTGGACAGATACATCTTCAAGAATGAGAAGAAAACCACAAGGCTGCAAGCGATATTTTACAACCACAGGTAAACAAAGTAAGTAGTCCTTCAATGTGCTTTTCCACCTTTGGACTTTTCCAAGAGAGGAAAGGCTTGTAGAATGTTGTATGCCCTTAGATCCTGCCTGGTTAAGATCCCTACCACAGGACACATCTGCAAAAAAATTGATTAGAAACAGAAGTTAGTGTCATTAGATTTATTTAGAGGTTTTAGCAAGCATGTAAGTAAAAGAGAGTTAAGGCATATAAACTCACTCCCGAGGCTTGAATCTTGGGAACAATAAGCAAATGCCGGAGTCCCACTTGCCGGAATAGTACTAAAGCCTTGGCCACAGACATGTTCTCCATGACTGTGTAAGGTGTTGTGTTGGTAAGAGGATGAAGATCGACATACATTTCCATTTCAGCGCTTGTGATGGCCACGTCGTCAAAGTTGTCTTCTCTCTCAGCCAATTCATCCCATGGAAACTTCTCCCTGACCTCCCACTCTTCTGTTCTTCTTTTCTCTGTCAAGAACCATCTCTTTTTCAGAACTTTAACGAGGTGCGCTCTCAGGATCAACCCGTGGAGTTCTGTAGCACCAGTTGGTAGACCCACTTGAGGTACTTCTGCTTTATCTAAAACAGGGAATGCATTATGGGTCGTGTTCTTTAGCACATCAACTATTTTTGAAACCTTTTCTACGCCTTGCAGGGTTACAACCGGGGGCTTAGCATCACCAAGCTCACCAACACTGAGGTTCCTCATCCATGGCTCTGGATTTGCTTCTAAGAAAGGTAAGCCCTTTAGATGCAAGATGATGTCATAGATACTAGGGTTGAAGCTATCTCCCACAGTTTTGGCTATCAGAAGCACAATCATTGTAATGGGAAGCAAAAGAAGGTTGTTGGTGAGTTCGAGGAATATAACACAGAGTGACACAGTCATTCTCATCGATCCAGCCATGAGTGCAGCTGCACCAAGGACAGCATAAAGCCCTTGGTCAATACTTGTGTAGGATCCCATTGCAGCCCCAAGCATTCGGCCATATGCAGCACCCATGAGGATGATCGGGAGGAAGAGACCAGACGGTGTTGCAATTCCAAATGTGAAAAGCCCCAAGATGCAGTAGAGCACAAAGAATATACAAAGGGAACCCATGCCAAACTCATTGGGAGTGTTGGAAGAGAAAAGGTTTCTGACAGCGTCATCGTTGGTGGTGAGAAGCAGAGTAGCTAAATCATTGTAGTAACCTTTTGGGCAGTTGAACTGTTTGAAGTTTCCCGATCTTCCATTGGTCGGGCAGATCTCATCTATCGAGGGGTCACAAGGCTTGCATTTCGCGAGGAAAGGAAGACCGTAAAGGCAAACCGATGTGAAGAGTGATACTGTAAGACTGAGAAGCACCTTGTGGATCTTACCCTTCCTGCAAAATGACCAAACAAGGTAAGTAACTAGCTTAACGGAAGTTTCACTATGTTTGTCTTTAGAACCTATTGAATAGCTAGCACTTACTCGTTGATGAGATTGTAAAGCCGGAGAACTTTATGCAGGAAGTGATTATAGAGGCTCCCAAGAATTCCACCGATTACACCAATCAACATGACAGGGATTATGTCAGTTACATGGTAAGTATAAGTTACATGACTCACATCAAACATGATAAGCCCTCCTCTTCCAAACAACCCACACTTCCCTGAATTGCAGATCTCTATGAACTCTCTTAGAACAACCACAACGACCGCTGTACTGAAGAAAGTCCGCCACAATAAGGCACTTCTCCACCAAGTGGCGACTTCCTCAAGGGCGAAAAGCACACCTCCAACAGGTGACCTGAAGGCTGCACAGACGCCAGCAGCTGAACCACACGTAATCAGATCCCTGCGGTCTCTATCGTTGTTGAAGTAACGAAGCCATCGCCACTTGATACGGTGGTTGTCTGTTCCGCCTTGTCCAAGCAAAGAAGCTATGCAGCTTCCAATGTGAACCAGAGGACCCTCTTTACCCAGATCAAGTCCAGCTGCAACCGCTCCAATGCTTCCAACAATCTATCAAACCCCGGAAATTCGTGAGTCAAAATTCAAATTAATTCATACATAATATCTCTGTTAAAAAGTTCTTCCTTAATACTATTAACAAGTCTCCAAATTCAGAAACAAACCTTAACGATCATAGTAGTAGCACCAAACATATTGGGAGTATCAACGCCATTAAGATAAGCTTTGATCTCAGGAATTCCAGGTCCAGCCGCCGTAGGAGCAAAGCAAACACATAGCACAGACGCCACCAACGTCAGTCCCAAATTCGCCCCAGCAAGCACCATCAGACCTGTAACATATCTGTTTCCCCCAACAAAACACTATCATCCATCTCACATTAAAGAAGGTTACAAAAACATTTTGATCTTGAATATTTTCGATATGGATGATTTACCTTTCTTGGGTGAGGAAGTGACCAACGGCTAAAAGCTTGTAGCCAGCGATGTTTTCGACGGCTAAGTTGATGAGAGTAGCGATTAAACCAGTGAAAAGACCAACAAGACAAGCTAACGTCCATTTCAGAAACACGTATTGAAGTACTTGTGCCTTTGATCTCTTTCTCCAATCATGCTTAAACAGATCGTTCTCGTTTATTCTGTCAATATTTAGATTAAAGATTAATAGAAGACCCTGAATTCAAAATTATGCAGAGAAGAAGAGGAAGTAGAAGAAGAAGACATACTCATAGTCCAAGCTTTCGATATGGGAAACCTTGGCACCAACCAAAGCAAGAGGAGTTGAAGAAAGTGTTCGATTAGCCTTAACCAGAGGTTGGTTAAGTGTGTTGCTCTCTGGGTCTGCTTCTCCATTGTAATTACTATTGCCACCAATCTGGTTTAAATCTTCTTCCACCATCTCTGTCTCTGATCACATAAAGATGAAACTCTGGCTTTTGGTCGGAACCTCTGCAACAGAACTTTTTAAGGTTCTTATAGAGCTTTCTCTGTTAACAAACCACTTCTGGGTGGGTTTTTTTTTTTTTTAAGTATTATTATTTCATGCAAATTGGTTCTCTGGCTTTTGTCTTTTCTTTGCTTTTATAGTTTATAAAAGTCTATATATATATATATATATATATGTGTATATGAAAAAAAAATTGTATATGAATAGTTCTAATTGTTTGTACAAAAAGAAGAAGATGAATAGTGTCTAAATTTAGCGGAGACGACGCTTATGCTTGTGAGAGGGTAACAAATAGAACTATGTAATCCATACATATGCTAAACTACAAGACGAGACAATGATTGACTATTTTAATATTATGTGTACAATAAATAACAACCAAAGGTTGTAATCAAATTGCGAATTTGTTATTTAAAAAAAAAATTATGAATTTGTATTGTATACCGTAGGGATAAGATTTTTCTATATGTGGCCTTGTTTATATATGAAAATATAGTAATTCATTTGTTATTCTTTAAACTCATAACAAAGGTTGTAATCAAATTGCGAATTTTGTTATTAAAAAACAAAATTGTGAATTTTTGTTGTATAATGTAGGGATAAGATTTTTCTATATGTGGCCTTGTTTATATATGAAAATAGAGTAATTCATTTGTTATTCTTTAAACTCATAACAAAGGTTGTAATCAAATTGCGAATTTTGTTATCAAAAAACAAAATTGTGAATTTTTATTGTATAATGTAGGGATAAGATTTTTCTATATGTGGCCTTGTTAATATATGAAAATATAGTAATTCATTTGTTATTCTTTAAACTCATACTAAGTGTTATTGGCAGCCAACTTAGGGAGGACATACATACGCGTTGTGGCTGCTACATTGGCTGCACTCAAGGCTTTTAGAGGGAAGATTTTTTTTTTAGCCTCCAAATTTCTAGATGCGTACTTCAACAACATAGGCTATACATCTATGTTCACGCGCCACGTAAATGCTCTCTTCATTTTCGTTGGGATCTCTATATGAATCTTGGAATTCAAAGAAATGAGTCTTCCCATCCGGACTAGGTCCATATTTCAGCAACATCACATAGAAACTGTTGCTACGTCCAAGCAACTTGGACGTGGGAAAATAAATTAGATTGTCCTCGTCAAAAGCAGTAGTAGCGTTCAAGACAGCAACAGTGACATGACTCTTCTCCAACAGATCAATCATCACTTGCTCAAATATTGTTTCTCGCTTTTTTTTATAGTGCCTAACAATATCCTCAAAGTAATGAACATTAACATACTTCGGCTTGTTTTTGGACGCCTTCAAAGAAACTTTTAGGCAATGCTAGAATATCTTTCTTATTAAATAATTGGGGAGAGTCCATAGGAAGTTGTCACCATTGGAGATGCTCTTGTGAATGAAATTACTTGTGTTGGATATTTTGAGAAAAACAATATCTATTCTTTATGAAATATTTCAAAATTAAATTTCACATAATTTAGCATACATATAATTGATTATACTTAACTTATGAATTAAATTTGATATTGTTAAATATAAACGTTTAAATCTAAAATCATATATATAGCGATACGGATTTGTTTGCAAGTAGAACTATCAAAATCTAGGTTTTAAAATGTCTTATAGCGATACGGTTTCATATTGTTGCGTCCTAATGGTCTAATTGATATATACCTGTATACAATAGACATAGTTTTGTACATCTTATCAAAATTTGTTCAAATAACAAGAAAACAATAATCATCCAGTTGGCTTTGTTTTGGTTGAAAATTGACAAATGTCACACTGTGGATTAAAGGTAAGTTCCAACTCAGCCATTACATCGGACAGATCATCATCAGTATCTTCTGCAGATCTAATGGTCACATAAACTCCAACTCTTGAAGTGACCAAACAGACATTTTTTACACAACTTGTTCTATAATCTTTTGAATTTCGCTTATGTTTGAGTTTTTTTTTTTTGTTTTGTTTCCAAGAGAGTAATCGTGAGATTGAGAGCTTAATCTTCGCATGGATTGGTTATATAAACATAAATTGGATATAACTTATAGTATATAGAAACAACAAAACAAATGAAAACGATGTATGTGCAAACTATGGGAATGATTGGTTCACGTAAGAAGCCAATAATATAAACACGTGGTAAGTGGTTTACAAAAAAAAAAAAAAAAAAAATAAACACGTGGTAAGTACCTCACCACGTGATCAATAGGAAGAAAGAGTCTATTGAACGGCGATCTTGTCCCTCTCTCTCTGGGCCCAGGAATACTTGTCCTATCGAAGACCAGATCTGATCCAATTGGTTGTCTTTGTATCCGACACGTGTCCCCTCGTGGTTCATATGATTTTAAAACAATTAATATTATGGATTAATTTATATGGTATTTTAAAAGAAAACCAATTTTTAGAAACTCTTGTGAAATGTGTACGCATAAGTAAATAATTTGGATAAGATTATTATTATGTGGGAGAGTTATACGATGATAAACATTGAAGACGAAGTCGACCCTGCGCTTCTGGCCGACCAGACAAGCAGAGTTTCACGTTTTGTATTTTCTTGACAAAATTGAAAACGAAGTTTAATTCTTATAAATATCGAGAAATTATAAAATAATATATATATAAATATGTGGCAAGTTTAGAATAATCATGGTTGGCACTGTTTTGTTCTAACAGTACACGAGAGATGTGTGCAAGCATATTTTACGAGATATAGGGTGGTACATAATAACAAATATAGATTTCTATGGCAGTCGACGACCGTGACTAAATAATGCTCGTTTGAGTATCGTATCAACAGCGAATGTGCTAAAAAAAATGTTGTTAATTTGATTGTCGCGTTAATTAGTTACTGTGATTAGACGCAACAACTAGCAAATCAAATTTCTAGGTTCCATGAATTTATGTTCATTTTATGATATGTATGTATGTTAGAGATGATTTTTCGATTTTCAATTCAAATGACGACATATAAACAACACTCACTTACAATATCCGGCAGCGAAATTCAAAGCTTTAACTAAGAGCTACGAGTTTGGAACCAAAGTCTCTTAGGCCATCTCCATATATTGGTTATGTTTATATATGAGTGTTTTTTTAAAAAATAATAATTAATTTTAATGTTATTTATTGATGGGTGTTTTTAAAATGTGTGAAAATGTCTACTTAAATACACTTTCACACACTTTAACACCAATCAATAAATAACATATAAAATTAATTATAAACTTTTTTAAAGATAGTTACCAAAAAAAATGAGCAATAGAGATGGTCTTATAATCAGTTAGTCTCCTTTTTTTTATGAGCAGATCAATTAAGTCTCCTAGAATCCTATAACTATATTGACTTGACCAGATCACACACAAACTCGGTAACGATACCAAGGTTTTGATAGTTTCCTATATATACAATTTTTATGTTTCTAATAAAAGGGATCCTCAGCAGTATAAAATATTGATGATAAATAATACATGCATGTAGTAGACACATTCTATCATCTGCAAGAATAAACACAACACACTTCACGCAAAAATAGATGCGTGTGCCTTAGGCTAGAGGCAACATCTTTTAATGTCTTATACAAAACTTTCGGTGAGGACCAATTTGCCGAACCGCACTCATCTCCCATTCCCATATATGTTTGCCCCCGCTCCGAAAATACTTTTATCTTACATATTTTAACTCACCAAACACTAGACTAAATCTCATATCACTTCTTGAACCGATCTATAACTAAATTTACTACTCTTTTCGTCCACACGATCTCCTTTCATGCTGTATTTTCTAACTTGAATATCTAATTTTCTGGAGGATCGGACAATCCTTATTTTACTTTATCAGAGGTCACTATTTATGACCATATTAGATTGTTTCATGAATGTCACCTGCTAACAAAAACTAAAAAAGAACCTAACCCCAAACACTCAATGGAGTCAAGTCAAGTTTGCTCTAGCGGCTGAACCGTTTACACGCACTTACCAAAAAATCCAACACCTACAAAGTTTTCCATTGGAAAAATAGTATGAAAAACATGAACGGTTGTAAGTTCTAAATTTTATCAGAATACATAAATTAATTTAAACTTTCGCTTTTTAATATTTTATTTTTGTTATAAAAGGCTAATTAACCTAATTTTCCATAGAGAGAATATGATTTTCATCCAGATATATTGAAACATATAAACGCAAATTAATTAAAGATAATCAAACTTATATATTATCAATATATCATTAAGGTCAGGACCACTAAACTCTATAATTCATGCAAAACTTAAAAAACACTCAATAATTCAATGAAAAGAGTTGACAACTTGTTAATCTAGTTGTATAAAAAGATTCCACAACGGTCACTTCAAATTTCACACGGAATCCAATTTTTGAGCATAAAGAAACAAAAAGGTCCAACATCAACAATATTTTGTGTCTTTTTGATTATATCAATAATATCTTACAAATGCTTTGAAATAAAGAAAACTTATGTTATGTCAATCTATCAAACAACATTAAGTATATGTAGAATATATTTTTGCTATTTTGGTATCATCATTGTCTTACCTTTGCTACACAAACGATTTTATGTTTCCGTGAGTTTGAAATTTGTGTTTGCATATATGATTGTTATAGTTTCTGATTAATATTAAACGTACAATTATATGAAAGTGTTGCCTAATATATATATAAGATAACAAAGTCAAGTATGAAACTCAAGAATCATTAAAGAAAACTATCGTTTATGTGTGTAATATTTCATCAAAAAATATGGGTTGCATTTGTGCTTGTTTTCCATTTAAAACAATCGTAATGATGTAAGATTGCTGACGGGTGAACTCTTATCTAATTGGTTGCTTCTTACCTAATGAAAAGATTAATTAGTGAAACATCATAATGCATGAATTATAATATTTCGTTTTAATTACAAGTGATTGGTTAATTCCACCCACTAGCTATAGATTCCTACTAGTCACTTACTTTTTCTACAAGTTGAAATTTTAAATAAGAGATTTAATTAAGTGAAAGATTACGTATTCATTACTTTACGTTCCTCCGTTTTTGATTCGTCGTAAAAAGTTGAAAACAAGAAGAATCTTGTATTTTAATGTAAGATTCAATTATGATTCAATCAAATGTACCTAATCAAACCTTAACCTCTCAGATATCTACCATTGTTCCAATTAATTTATGAACTTTCAAATTTTATTTTTGCTAATATGTAAACAAGTGAAAATTCATTTGCAGTGCTTGAAGTTGATACCTTTAATTACCTTATACCTTATTTTCAGAAATTAAATTATACTCAATATATATCATCTTATATTCCTGTCTAAGAAAATTGCTACTTGTATTTTTTAAAATTTTAATTCTGATATATGATTAGGGAATAATATCGGTTCAAAAATTATGTCAAAAAGGAATTTGAATAAAAAAAATGTAGGCGCGATTTTGCAAATCACCACAATAATTAAGATTATTCACATGAAATTTACTTGAATATGGGCTATTGTCAATTGAGCCCATTAAGAATACAGCTCAGGCGTCAGACACTAATGGGTTTTTACAGCTTATGAAATTCGCCTACAGGCTACGGCTACCTTTGCCATGTGAGATTATTCTGAATCTCTGATCGAACTATACAACTCTGTGAGATGAAGTCAGAGGATTCTTCAGGTTTCGTTATCTATTAAATTAACATTTCTATGATATGTGAGAGAACTTTTTACTTCTTGACTCATTTTAATGTTATCCTCTTTCGCGGCTCTTGATAATCAAACACGTTTTGAATGATCTTTACCTCCTGCGAGTAAAATAGCGAACCACCATTCCATGTTGTGAGAACTGAGACTACTGTTTTACCTCTCCTTGCTAACGGTTTCTTTTCGGGATATCAACAACAAGCAGCTTCAGAGTTGTGTAAGATCATGAACATGAGAAAATGCAATCACCCGAAGTTGTGAAATAGCACTAAATCAGATAGATAATAGAATTCATGGAGAAGCCCCAGCAAATGCAACGGATTTTAGTCATTAGGAAATATTAGAAGACAAATATAGATACCTTGACATTAACAAAGAGAACTCAATACTAAAAGCAAGTTACAATATGCAGTAAACGCATTTCCAACTTACAACGTACCAAGTAATAAAAACGGGATAATACGAAATTTAACCAAAAGGCCGGAGATTATATTTACTGAAATCGTGTTTCAAGAAGGTACATCTCCACCAGGCATCTCCCAGTTGTCTTCTTCCTCATCTTTTTTCTTACTCTTAGTTGCTGCTGCTGCTTCTTCCCTTGTTTCTTGAGTAAACCTTGCTTGAGGACGCCTGAAGAAAAAAAACCACCAAGAAACACGAAACCACATTCAAATTGGAGACTCATTTCTTCTATATTTCTATCCTCTAAAGCTAAAAGACATGGTAAGATTCAAAACTGAGAATCAAATCTTCACAAGGTATAAGAAACTATCACTGAATCATCAACAATCCATACTACACCACACCATGAAACATGAACCACATACAAATTTCCATCCTCTAAATCTAAGAAAGACAGTGTAGGTTCTCAATTCTCAAGAATTCTCAATTATCAAAATCTCCACAGGCTACAGAAAACGATCAATTGAGCTCAAGCATCAATACCCAACCTCTGTTTCAACACATGAATCAATAACAAGAAAGCAGATATAGCAAAAGGATTCTTACAGAACAAACATATCATACAACTTTGGGACTGAAACATCTCTATTTCAATCCTCAATAGCTAAGAGACAGTATAGGTTTTCAATAACTAAGTATCAAGATCCTCACAAAGAGATTTTTGTGACACAAAGTATCATTGAACTCAATCATCAATAACCAATCTGTTTCAGAAAATGAATCAATCACTAAAAAGCAGATTCTAACAAAAGAATCAGCAAACCTGAAGAAACATAAAACACATTCAAATTAGAGACCATCTCTACTATTTCAACTCTCTAAACCTAAGAGACAGTAATGGTTTTCAAGAACTAAGCATCAAATCTTCACAAACTAATCATCAATAACCAAATCTCTGTTCCAACATAATGAATCAACAAAGTGAAAGTTGAAACCTTTTCTTATTACGCTTAGCAGCATCACGAGTCCTACGTTTCTTCTCATCTTGTTTATTCTCAAAGTATCTCCTTCTCTTACATTCCTGTATAACACCAGTTCTCATCACTTCTCTTCTAAACCGATTCACAAGCCTCTCCTCTGACTCATTATCTTCAACAAACACTTGCACGTTGTATCCAGAACTGAAGAAGAGCGTGTTCGAGTAAGCAAGCGAGGGACAAATCACGGAGGCAAGCTCAGAGGAAATTGAAGAAGCGGTTGAAGAAGACTCTTCGACCGACATTGATTCGATGGCGAGATCATTTCTTCGCCTTTGGGAGATTGTTGGAGAAGGAAGAGTGAGATTTGGTGGCGGTGTAGGTTTGGTTTGAGATTTGAATGGTGAAATGAAAGAGATGAAGCTCGTGAGTGAGAACGAAGCCGCCATTAACGAACGCGTTGCGAGGAAGAAGAAGAAGAAATTGGAAGAGATTGAATTGTGGATAAGATTCAATTCCCCCCAATTTCTAGGTTAGTGGATCAATTACGGGTCAAGATAATATCAAACCGGGTTCGGGTATTTAGACCCGGTTTTAATAAATGGGCTGGTAATTATTTGGGCTGGATTAGTTTACCAAGGCCCATTATAGTTGAAGACGGTTTTTTACTTAATTTATTCCATAAATACGTAAATTTGAGACGCAATAAAAAAAAATCAATGTCTGCTGTATCTTGATTCTTGAATAAAATATTTCCTATGGGAGGCGATATTGGTGACTGTCTACGTGAACTTCCTCTTTACTAAATAAAAAAGAATTGCATTCTTTCAAAATATATTACTACTATATATTAAGGTGAAATAAAGGTACTTTTGGGTTATTTATATAATAAATCTACGTGATTAAAAAATTAGATTTGATGCAACAAACGAAGTCTTAAGATTGGCCAATATGAGCAGTTGTCTATCTCCCATGAGTCTTAGATACAATTATCAATACTTTTTCTTAGCTAATCTATGATATAAATGTGGAAATTCGTTAATCAATGTACTCTTTAAGTATATTTTTTGAAAAAGTTGTTTAACATATTTTCATTAGTTCTCTAAATATAATCAAAAATATATTATGTGTTTTAAAATCATATTTCAATCTTTTCAATTCCTACATCAAAATGTAACTTTAACTAGCTGAGTGATGTCCCCAACATTTTCTAGTTTTTAAATCTATAAATATGACTTTCATGTGTTTGATCTAAATATGGAAAAATTAATTATTCTTTTCTCTAGAAATTTTCGATGAACTCAACTTGTGTCTTAAATATTATAATAATAACATGTAAGATATGAAAATTTATGAAATGCAGTATTAATCATAGCCTATATCACTTAAAACGAATGGAAATGAAACCTAAAAACATAGATTAGGTTTATTCAGTTTTATATGTGAACGAATAATTTATTATCAAATACTGATAAATATCTAAAACATGTAATTTGGAGGAATGTGATAAGGTTTAGTTATTTACTGTTTCTATATAAAATAGTAATTATGATGTGTTTTTTATTTATTTATTGACATCAGTAGTGATGATTTGTTAAGCACAAAGATTGCTATTGAGAGCGAGTCACCAAATCACAAATTAGTGAATTTTCTTTTCTTTTCATACAAACATCAAATGTCATTAGAATTAAATTAACAAATTTGGTTGCTTACCTGCACCGAATACGACTTGTGACATTGAGGTTGGTTATACTTTTCTACATTTAATTTCTCTAGTGGACTAACTTTCAGAATTGGTTTATATGATGATGTCGACTTCTTATTGTCATTATCCAAATTTTCATATTAAATTTTGTATGTATAATGATTCAGAAAATCATGTTTATATAAATTAATTCATAGTACATACGTCCATCGGTTATCGTTTATGATTTGGGATATATAGGACCACAAACTTTCATATCTTTTCTAATCTTAAAAATTAGGTTGTCTTAGAAATATTAGTTGAAGTATTGAACAAAGACATTTACTTTTTGTATGAGTCATCCAATTCTGTTAGCATATAGTTGGACTAACTCTTTCAAATATATTCCAGTAAACCTTACCTTTATGCTTATGCTTGTAAATGCCTTAAACTAGACTATTAAACGAGCTAACTTATGACCATTCTTTTCTTGATTGATGTTACATATGGTCCCATTTCTCCTAATATTGATTTAGATTGGCTAGCTTCAAGCTTAGCAGGGAACGGATCAGTTGAACCTTTCAAAAAGCAAGGGGAGAAATTCAGACGTAAAAACCTACCTCACACCCTAACGGGATTTGATCAGAAGGAATTGAAGAAGTACCACCCTCCATGACAAAAATCCACTCAATAGTATAAACTATCGAAAGCGTATATAGAACTTGCAAACCACTCAACTGAGGAAATTAAAGGTAACATCACCTGATACAAGACTCGGTGGTGAGACTAGTATCGGGATAGAGATGGTGGCTTCACAAGCTGGCGGTCGCTTCTCTCTTGTGAAGGATTGATGGTCGATGATGTAGATCTAACACGATGGCGGTCGCTTCTCTCGTGTGGAATCGAAATAGATGAAAGTGATGGCGGATTGAAGTACACCACAGAGATGTGATTGGTCTCTGATACAGTACACGAACTCAGCCTTGGTGAATCACACACACAAGACAAAGAACAAGCTTATTCTCTTAAGAACACTTAAAGAGAAGAAGTAAGAAAATTCGGGTTCTTTATTGATAATCAAGGGTGAAAAATCGTACAACTGCTGCAGGGGGACTTTATAAGAGTCCTTCAGCTAGTCCTAGGGCCGAAAATAAATGCAAAAACACAAAAAAGGAAGCAAATAAAAGCAAAACACAAAAACCATTGTTTTTAGAAAGAAAATAACTAAATAAGGAAACTACTTAAACTCTCTTGAGGAGCACGCTTTGATGACGAGTCTAGCCGTTGTGTGGGCTTATTAGACCTGCAAAGATAGTATAAATTGAATAAAACTTACCGGGATGCGTTTTAGGCCCAATAGACGTTCTCTGAGTCACTTCCTGTAGTACTCTCTGACCTACTTCAGGCGTCATATCTTGTGCTCGTTTACTTGTTGGTTTCTTGAAGTAGGGGCTTTCCTGGAGTTCCTCTTGAGTATCTTGATCAGTTTCTTGGAGCTCTTCCACGTCCTTGGTGTCTTGGTCTTGATCTTGACTCTCTTGATCACTCTCGGAAGTGAAGCTTGTCTCGTACGTCTCCTGCAGCTCCAAAGTCTTCTCTTGTCTTCTAGGGGCTTCTGGACATGTCACAGAAGATTTCATACCTTGGGGAGTAGTTCGTTCAAGACTCATTTGGGTGAAAGCTTCAGCAAGCTCTTCTTCGGCTATTGGATCATATCCGGTTTGGGGTGCTACGGACCAGTTTACTTCCTCCAGCTCTAAGGAGCTTAGAATGTCTTGCACAGCTAAGTTGAACCTTTTCTTGAGTTGTTTAGACCTTGAACGTGTCATGGGACCTTCTCGGACTTCTGGTACATGATGTAGTACAGGATGTAGTGCAGGATGTAGTTCAGGATGTAGTTCAGCAGTTTGGTTAAAGTCGATGTCCGCATCATTCCCTCCCTCTTCAGAAGGTTTTGTCCTCAAAACTGAATCTCCTGGATCATAAGCAGACAAGTCAGCGACATTAAATGTATGGGAAATTCTTACCTCACTCGGTAGCTCAAGACGATAGGCATTATCGTTGATCTTCTCAAGGATCTTGAATGGACCGTCGCCTCTTGGTGCTAGATTCGATGCTCTCTGCGTTGGAAACCTCTCAGGTCGCATATGTAGCCAGACCCAATCCCCTGGTTCAAATAACATTTCCTTCCTTCCCCGATCAGCTTTGCGTTTGTTGTCGGCATTTTTCTTTTCCAAGTTGTCTTTGGCCTTGTCATGTAACTTCTTGATGATTTCTCCACGTCTTAAACCATCTTGGCAAACCTGTTCTTTCTGAGGCAAGGGTACTAAATCCAGTGGCGACAAGGGGTTAATTATATAGACTATCTCAAAAGGAGATAGTTTTGTAGCCGAGTGAACGGCACGATTATAAGCAAACTCGATAAAAGGAATGCAATCAAGCCATGTACTCATATTTTTACCGAGAGTAGCTCTAAGTAAGGTTGAGAGAGTTCGGTTTACCACTTCGGTTTGTCCATCCGTTTGAGGATGACAAGTTGTAGAGAATAGAAGCTTGGTACCTAACTTTCTCCAAAGGGTCCTCCAAAAGTGACTCAAGAACTTGGTGTCACGATCAGAGACTATGGTCCTTGGAATTCCATGGAGGCGCACCACTTCCTTGAAGAACAAATCTGCGGTTTGAGTCGCGTCATTGGTCTTGTCACACGGGATGAAGTGTGCCATCTTGGAGAACCGGTCCACAACAACAAAGATTGAATCCTTGTGTCTAATCTTGGGCAATCCTAAGACAAAGTCCATAGAAACATCTACCCAAGGGGCGTTAGGAATAGGTAAGGGTAAGTAAAGACCATGAGGATGTAACCTGGATTTGGCTTTGTGGCAAACAATGCAACGGGCACAAAATCTCTCAACGTCTTTCTTGAGGTGGGGCCAGAAGAAATGCTCCATTACTACGGCCAAAGTCTTGTCAACACCAAAATGACCCATCAAACCTCCACCATGCGCTTCACTAAGTATCAAGTCTCGCATAGAACCTTGAGGGATGCACAACCGCTTGTCCTTGAATAGAAACCCATCTTGCAAGTAGAATGCTTTGTAAAGTCCTTTGCCATGATCTTTGTAGCACTCTCCTAGTTCTGGATCATCCTTATACATCTCCTTGATATGCTCAAATCCCATCACCTTAGCTTCCATAGTAGCTATAAGGGCATATCTCCTCGACAAAGCGTCAGCTACCACGTTCTCCTTTCCCTTCTTGTACTTTATCACATATGGAAACGTCTCAATGAACTCCAACCATTTGGCATGTCTCCTCTTAAGCGAAGTCTGACCCTTAAGATGCTTGAGAGTCTCGTGATTGGTATGGATGATGAATTCCTTGGACAACAAGTAATGTTGCCAAGTCTCAAGAGCTTGAACTAAAGCATAAAGCTCCTTGTCGTAGGTTGGGTAATTCAATGCAGCTCCACTTAGTTTCTCGCTAAAGAAAGCTACAGGTCTCTTCCTCTGATGTAGTACAGCTCCAATTCCCAAACCTGATGCATCACACTCTACTTCGAACATAACTTCAAAATCTGGTAAGGCTAAGACCGGTGCTTGTGTGAGCCTCTCCTTCAACGTGTTGAAAGACTGATCTTGAGCTTCTCCCCATGAGAAAGGCACATTCTTTTTGATCACAGCAGTCATTGGCGCAGCCACTGTACTAAAGTCTC